AATCGCAATTCCCGCGTCAGCAACAAATAATGCTAGCTATACTTCTTTAATAACTAAGCTCAGTAATATAAACAATGCCGAAGCAATCTCATTAATTCTGCGCATCTCTGCTGTCTTTAGTTGAGCGGAAAGCCAACTCAATTACGTCTGACTGCAATAAAAGGCAACATTAAGTACGTCTAGATAATTAAAACATTACTGACTACACCAGGAGCTGCCGAATTCCTGCAATTTAGCAGACGAAGTGACACACAATTAGATTGCTGAAACATCACGCATTTACATTAAGATTTATATTTCAGATAACTTGTGTGAGTCATGTTATGTTCGAAGGAATTGAACGGAAATTGAGCTTAGAATTGTGGAGGATTTGTGGCAAAGCGGTTTTTGAATCGATACGATTTGCGGAACAACTGCTTGACAGTTTTTCTGTATATATAATATATATTTATGTTAAATATAACTGTTTTATATATTAATTTAATTTAATTATATTTTTTATTATTTCACTTGTACTACTTATAAATATGAAAACTCAAAAGCTAATTACTAAAAAAAAACTCATTTAATTGAATTATATCTCTTATAAATTGAAAAATTATGATTTAATTGAATTATTCATTTAATTCATGTAAAATTATTAACAACAATAAAAGTAATAATAATCTCATTTTAAAGTTTTTTTAAATGCTTTATTATATGAATTAAAATTTAAAAATCAAGCAAAGCTTCATACTGAAATACTTTGATTTTTAAAGTTTGAGAAATTTATTAATTCACTATATCTATTTCTTCTATTGCCTAGGCGGATGAAAGATAGGATCGATCTCTCAGAAACATGAAGTCTGTGAAGTCGAAGAAAAGCCTTTGATAAATAATAATAATTCTGTGCAAATACAAAGATGCTTGCAGAGGGATAATAATAACTTTTGCAACATACCTCAGATTCAGAAACAATTCACAGTCTTTTAGATTTTCTCAAGAGTGTAAGGGCTTAAATATTTTAAACTATATTTAGATATACAGAAATAAATGGCAAAATATTTCTCATCTAAACACAGCAAATAGAAAAAAAATTCAAATAAAAAACAATATTTTGAAATTATGTTTAACCGCATTTTGGCTGTGGCAAAGCATAATTAACAATTTAATTCCTAATGTCATCTGAATTGTGCATAATTTATTAATGATGTATTTTAAATGATTTCCAATGCTGCATGTGGAACTCCAGATTTATAATGGATTATAACATATTCAGATATATTTTTTATATTTTTAATAAATATTTTGTATTCATTATCTACAATTTATGGGAAATTGCTGTAAAATAAATTACTTAATACAATAATAAATACAAAATAAATAAAGCAAAAAATTCAAAGTTGCTTCTATTCAGAAACACAATAATACCATATTAAATCAACAAAAAGATTGCAAAAATAAATAATTTTTTAGTTTATTTCAATGTGATAAGCTGGCAATGCGACGACGCATAATATAAACATTTCCGATAATTGTAATTTGTTTATTTATTAATTTTATTTTATTACTTTGATAGTTGCAATTACTGTTGCAGCTGCAACTGCTGCCAGCCACATGCCACATGCCACATGCTACATGCCACATGCTGCCAGCCGCAATATTTGTCGTGAAATGTTATTAATTTATGAGTGGACTTCCAGAGGCGCAAAAATGTGCTAATAATAAAGATTCAAAAATAAAGCAGCAGCAGCAACAACAACAACAACAAGAGCAACGAAAAGCGAAAAGAAAAACCAGCTAACACAGTGAAATAAAAGCTTCGACGCACACTTAATCTAGTTGAGACTTGGCAACCCCACCGCAGCACGCCCCATTCCCCTTGGCTAGCCCGTCCCACCACAGTCCTGCTGTGGCGCTTATGTTTAATGCATGCCACAGTCAGTGTGGCAGTTGTAAACGTAACCAGGCAACAACTGCGGACAGCGACTATGACTGGTCTTAATCGCAATCGCCGAGCCAGTCAAGCAAACGCTCAGACCTGAGACTGGGACTGAGACGCTAACTCTGACTCCGGCTATGACTATGACTAGGACTGAGGCGGAGATTGAGAGACCTGGGGCGACCCAGGCGATGGCCACAAGTGTAACTGCAGGGGGGAAAACTCGTGAAAATCCAGAGGGAGAGTTCAATTCGCGTTGACTGTCGGGGCGGGCACTTGCTGCGTAGGGCATTCAGGGAGTGGGCCACACACTCATACATACACAACCACACATAAACTGTCGTCCTCGCACTTGGCTTTAATATTCAAATGGCAACCAACCTCAAGCAATTGTGGAAAACGCAACGCGACGCAGCAAATATCAAGCAAAAAAATAAAAAAGAAAACAAAAAAATCCCGAAAAAAATGAAGGAAAACTTGTAGATGCGATTGCGAAGAGCAACAGACGACGGCGACAACGACAGCGACTGCGGCGACGACGCAACGGCGGACTGAAGACGACGACTCCGCTGACAGCTGGAGCACGACGTAGCAAAAAGATACGACACCACGCGACACACACACACGCACGCACACACACACACACGAAGATGGCAATTTGTTGTCCCGGGTCCCCAGAGCGACGTGGAGACTAACACGCCGCACAGCCGAAATTACACTGAAACCGTTTGTGAATGTGAACTCCAGCAGCCGCTGCTGCTGCTGGCGCCATCACTGCCGCTGTCGCTGTCGCTGCCAACGTCGCCGCTGCTGAGCCGAGCCGGGACCGGCAGGCCGGTAGACAAACCGAACAAATACAACGGGATCTATGGCAACCGAAGACAGTGCACGAGCTGCCGACTGCGCTGGGCTTGCCTGGGCTAGGCGCAGGGAGGTGGGCAGTCGTCGTTCATGCAAAATAGCCAAATAGCCAGCGCAGCAGCGTCAGAGAAATGTATTTTCGGCTGAGCGACAGGCAGAGTGTGAAAGAGAGACAGCGGCAAACAGAGAGAGAGAGAGAGAGAGAGAGAGAGCGCTAGCAAATGCATGGGAGAGCTTCATTGACAAATGCCATAGCGACGCGACGAGAGTGCGAGAGCGTTGAGCGAGCTTTTTCCAGGCAACTCTCACCGCGCATAGACCAAAAACCAAAAAATAACTGAAAACTGAAAAACTGGAAAACTGTTAATGTAAATGCCTTTCAACTCTCACATAATGTCGGCAAGTCTTTAGCTTGTTTTCATGCACTAGCCGAGGGTATTGTGGAAGTTGAACTCAAATTGTGACTGTTAAATAAACTATGTCTAAGTATTTGGAATATACAAATAAAAAATAGAACTATATATAAAAAATACTAATTTTGAATCTAATTTAATTGTTATTAATTTAATAATACAATTTTAAACCTATTAAAATACACATCAATAAAATTTTACTAATAAATGTAATGAAAAATAAAATCAATAATAACAAAATATGAATAATAATATTAAATATGAATAATTCAAAAATAATAGTCTCTATTTTTATGCTATTTTTATTATATATAAAATGTATGAAGTTAGTGTATTTAAAAGTCGACATTCTTCTATAACTTGATTCCTTTTCTTTTTGCTTTACCTGCTCCCACAACATTCCAGCAAACAGAGAGCGAACAGCAGCAACAACAACTTTGATGTTTATGACGCTCAAAGATTTGCGAACCAGTGTGAAGTACTCGTAGATACATTAATAGATGCAAACACACACACACACAAACACACTCACACACACAGACACTCTCTGAGCTGGCTTATGATTTTTGACTTGTAATTGAAATTTCAAGCATTATTAGTTCTCGTTGGCTCAAAGTACGAAGCTCCCAATGGACAACCTTTGCGGTCCGCCTACGCTCGGCGCGCAGCTGACTGAATGGGCGCCAACTGTTGATTGGTGTGTCAACGGCCGTTGGGATATCGCCCCCGCACCCGCACCCGCAGTCTGCCTCTTAGCAGATGCCTTTATATATTTTAGGTTGGATTTAGTTAAGTCCTTTCGCTTTCATGGGCCATGTGGCCGCCTAATGAAGCGCTTTGCTGGTCAATAGCCGCTAGAGCCGAGAGCAACAAATATTTTACACCTGGCCGTGGCTATCGACGCTAAGACCAGAGGTAAAGCCCGTTGGGGCAATTGTTTGTTGTAGTTTTATGGGTTAGCCCTCAGCTGTATACATGATGCGCTGCCTAACGGTACGAGTAATGTAATTGCTATCACAATTGAGCAATGAAATCGAGACACTCAAACTCGCCCACTCTTTCGTAGTAGTTGTTCGTGTTGTTGTAGCCGCTCCAAAGTAACCCAAAATAAAAAGAAACTACAGAGGGCTAAGGCCTTGGATAGCCAAACATGATTTGCTGTTTTGCATAGGTTTTGATGACTCGACGAAAACGTTGCAGATATTAGCAAACAGCAAAGAGCATGGCAAAAACTTTCAAGAAACAGTCAAATAAATAGGCAGTAAAACGGAATCCTCCTAATGCCAGTTAACAAAGTCCTGGCCTGAAATTCCCCAACTAGCCAACACAGTTTGGGATGTTTTACCTAAAAGTATTTGCAGTGAGGCTTACATAGTCATGCCAAATGCTTTTGTATTAAAAGAGAAAAGTTTTTTAATCAATAATTTATGTAGGCAAAAAATTATATAAAATATAAAGTAAAATTATATATGAATGAAAATTGAATTTATCTATTAGAAAAATTAAAAATCTATTCGAATTGAAATTCATTGCATTTAGATTTAAGACTGGGATTTATGTTGTTAAAACTTAGGGTCATACTATGCTGTTTGTTTTCTAATCTACTAAGTCTTAATCTTGATAAACTGAGCTGAACTATAAACTGAACTTTATTTAAAATATTTATATAGCTATACAAATATTAACTAGAATTAAAATTATCTATAAAGTTATTCGCATATCTACTCTAAATGCCAATTTTATAATAATAATGAATATGTACGATAATAAAATTATTAATAATAATAAATATTCAACTAACTCACCAATAGATGTTGGAGGTAAAATTAATTATCTGAAAGCTAGCACTAAAATGTCTTGAAGGGCTTCAAGTGTTAGCCAAGCCAATACTGGCTCTAACAAATTATTTCCTTTCACTTTTGGCACAACTGAATCTTTGGCAATGAGTTCAGCTTAATATAAAATCGATTTGATTGAGCAAAGGTTGAAATTTCTAGGCTTCACTTACTGTATAATACTATTTCGATTGCTGTTCCAAAAGTGTCCTGATTTTTTTTTTTTGATTTTTTCAACAGTTTTATACTTTTTTCATCAATATCTATGTTATGCCTCGAAAAGAATTTCCATCCAAATATTATGCGCTACGTTTCAAACTCTCTCTCCATTACAAAAAATCATTTTTGTGATCTTCTTTAACTGCTCTTCCAATGCCGCCGTCCTTTATTTATATATTTCATTGCACTCCGATAGTCTAGTTCAGTGTAGCCCGATCAGAATCAATCCCAAAATTAATTTTAATTTCTCAAACATTTTCCATTCAAGCTCAAATACTTTTCTCTTTCGTTTTTTTATTTGGTGTTCAATAGATTTTGTTTATTGCATTTCAGTTTTGAGTTTCGTATATTTATTATATAATTAAATTTATGCTTGTTCATGAATCGTTGAGAGAACAGTTTTCCTTTCGCATTCGCATTCGCATTTAGCTCAAATAGTATACAATTCGCTTAACTATACAATTAAAAATCAGTTTTTAGATACCTTGAGAGGAGAACCAAATGCGTAACAATAGTAAATTAGAACTAAACAATGTTTATAATATGTATGTTTGTATATGTATATGTATGTGTATATGTACTCGTATTTGTATATATTAATTATAAGTTTCTTATGAATGCTTTTGCCATTGTAAAAACTTAACAAATGTTTTGCAAACTTTATCGTTTTTCTTTATGAAATCTTTTTCTTTTTTTTTTTGTATTTATTGCAAAGCGTTAGCATCTTCTTCTTCTTCGTCTTCTTCACTTTTGTTTAGCTTAGAAATTATTGTTAGTATTATGTATAGATACAATAGCTACGTTTGTATGTTAGTATGTATAATGCTTGCTGAGAGATATTCAAAATGTACAAGAGGCTTTATTTACCTAATGATATTCAATAGAAACACATCTTTATCTATCTTTATATATATAATATGTGTGTATGTGTGTGTGCGTGTATATGTACTCTACTCTGAACTCTGACCCCCGCCCAACGCCTCTCAGCTAAACAGGCGAAACAAGTTAAAAGTTGCGTTTACTTAAAACACAACTTTGCGGAAGAAAAACATTTTAATATTTGAAAATTTAAATCGTTTTACGCCAAAACTTCTGCAGCCCGTGATTTTCCATGTCAATTTTCCAGGCACGTCATCACCAGGTTAAATATAAAAAAAATGTAATTAAAGTTGAAGCGTTGCTCGCGCACAAACACCCACTCTTGATGCGTATTCCGTGATGATGAACGCACAGCCAGACGGAAATTTTCATTTGTTTTTCTAAAGTTTTCTAAAGTTTGCACAATGTATTCATTTTTTTTCTGTTCAGACGTTGAAGCCACGCAAGGACCGTTAGATGTAAGCACTTATTAGCTGAAAAGTTAACACGCGCCTTTAACAAGCGATTCGGACAAGCGCCGAATGCTCCAATGAATTTTAAGCAGTTGCCATAATATACGAAACGTTTTTCTTTCCATATATATACTATACATATATATATATATTATAGATCGACTGTCTGGAGCACGCATACGCCCCGAGCCACACGCAGGGGTTCTCTAATTAGGCAATTATGAAGCTTTTAAGCGGGGTAACGCTAGCACAGCTACGTTTTTAAGTTGCTTTTCTTTCAGTATAGTTTGCTTGGCAAATATTAAAAGCTTTATTAACTGTTTAATGAGCTTTCACTTAAAGTTGTCGAAATATATTACAACCCATAGAAATATTTGGATGCAAAAGCAACTACAAGAACTGTTTGATGAGCTGCTGGAAAACTTAAGGTACACGAGAAGCTCTAAAAACTGTTAATGAGCTTTTGTGTCGACTGTCTTGCGACTGGACAATTATATAAAAAGCTATATGAAAAGCTAATCAAATCTATGATAAGATTTGCCAAAGCTACATGAGCCTTTATTAATTAATGTATTTCTTGTATATTACAAGTTTTTAGAAATGTTTAGTTAGCTGTTAAAAAAGACTTTTTTGCAATTGGGCAAATATATGAAAAGCTATACGAATATATGAGAAGCTTTCAGTAGCAATTCAAGATATCTAATATTTTTGTAACTTAAGATGCATGAAAAGCTTTAAGAACTGCTTTAAAAGCTTTAAGACTTATGAGATTGTGTCCTTCGCTTATCATACAACGATTTTGAAAAAAAAAAACAGCTTTTAGAATTGTTTAATGAGCTTTCAAAAATTTGAGATTTCTTCAGTTAAGGCAATATAATTTTGATAAATAACGTATATTTTAAACAATTTGTTAAACTTTAATCAGTTAAGAACATGTTTTGAGCCTAGAAATAAAGTCCGAATTATATAAAAATTTACTTGCATATTTTAAGGAACTGGCAAGCCGAATTGAAAATTTCTTTATGCCTATTGTTGGTCCTAACAAACCGTAAAAGCCGTTAGCTATACAGTATATACAACTCTGGCTATTTTTAACTGAAAACTCATATATTTATATATATATATATATATATATATATATATATATATATATTTATATATATATATATATATATATATATATATATATATATATATATATATATATATATATATATATATATATATATATATATATATATATATATATATATATATATATATATATATATATTTATATATATATATATATATATATATATATATACGCATAAAAATAATTGGATCGATAAAACAATTTAAATATAATACTAAAAAGTTGATAGTTAAAAACGTTTTGGACTTTTGTTGTTCCCAAAATGCCAAGCAGTGCCGAATGGATTATTAATTGTAATAATACTTATATAGCTACAGTAATATGTATGTCATGATATGGGAGTGTTGTTCGCGTGATATTAGATTGATAATTACTCATAAGTAGGCATATACGTATGCGAAGGTTACAATAGGTTATAGGCTAAATATTGCTTGATGGGACTTGAGAAATGTGCCGCTCCGGTCCGCTCCGGCTTCTTAGAGGAACGCCTTCTTGCTGGCCTCCAGGGTGGTGGTGGTGGTGGTGGTGGTGGTGCCGGTGGCGGTGCTATCTTTGCCCATGCTGGCGGTGGTCGACACCGCTATGCTGGGCACCGCTGGCAGTGTTCCTGATGCGGCTGCAGCTGCTGCTCCGGCAGCTGTGGCCGTTACGTTCGCTGCCAGTGTCACAGGGATTATGGGCGCCGAGGGGGGAGTGGCAGCCAATTGGGTTGGAAAACGTGGCTGAAATGTGGGCTTACCCATGGCCAATGCCGGATTCAAGTCTAGCATAGTGCGTGGACTCATCGCAACGATGCTGGCGCCCAGGGGACCTGTGAAGAGTTGAGCAACTGTTTGGTTTAGGTGCAGTTAAACGTAAACAGAAGTAGGTAGGAATGTAGAGTAGAGAGACAGCGAGATAGATAGAAAGAGAAAGAATAGAAAGAGAGAAAGAAAGAGAGAGAGAGAGAAAAAAGCAATTATATTAATATTTGTTATAAAGCTTTTAAACAAATCCAATCTCAATTTACTTAAGTCGTATTCAAGGGTAGACGCAACGCTATTCGGTGTTCTTTAATACAGGGTGCACTTGATATACTACACGTTACAGGGTGTTTGTGGCTGGGATACAAAACAGCATACGATGCACACACTTAATGCACTCACAACATTCAACATACAACATACAACACACACACAGAGAACTTAAAGTAATTAACAACTAAACTAGGGTTAATGAGACGTCAGAGGTTCAAACCCCGCACGGGCAAACATGCAGCATGCAATCGAAACTACTAGAGGGTTGCTTTCGCAGGTGTTAGCAAACTTTTTGTCGCATCAACGCCGGATGTTTGAGGTGTGAAGGTTCGGAATCGGTTTTCAGTTTTCGGTTTTCGGTCATTCAGTTCAAGGATGTTATCTACAAACTAGTTTAGTTTTAGAAATGTTCTGGTAGGAGTTGCTGGCAGCGCCTACGCTACATAGATAGGATGTTTGTTGTAGGATTAGAATAGAGTACTAGAACATAGAGATATGCTATTTAGAATATGGTAAACCAACACACCCGCCCAGCTTGATCCGTGTGACAGTTTTTGTCTGAGCCTGAGAGAGCATGAGAGATGAGCGTTTTACGATAAAGATAACGATAACGATAACGATTGCGATTGCGATTGCGATTTCTTTTGATTTTCTTTTTCGATTTTCAATTCATTTTTGATTTTTGTATTTTTTTTTTTTGATTTTGAGTTGAGTTTTCTCTCTTTTGTTTTGTGCTTTCATTTGAACTGTGTTTTCTGTTTCGGTACTTTTGGAATACAAATTACAAAATATAAACTGGTCTTTTATATCTTTTTTTAGTCGAAACTGAAGGCCATATCTGAAATACAAAAGGTCAAGATAATACAAAATGTTTGTCTATAAAAATATCAATACGTATATGACTAAGTATATATATATTATATGGAACGCCTGTTCGGCGTTTCGAATAACAATGAAATATATATATTTATAAAAAATACACACGCAGACACATATATGGATAGAAAGAGAGAGACAGAGAGAGAGAGAGGGAGATAGGGATACTTGTGGAATAGATATTTATTTATATATGTATGCATATAGAGTAGATACTTTTGAACGAACGAACGAACGAGCCAGAACTGATGAACAACACGTATATCAATATATCAATATTCAATATATAATAGGTATATATATGTTATATATATAGAGAGAGAGAGAAGTAAACACGTAGAAAATTACATATTGTAGTTATATATATACGATCATATATATATATAGCAAGAATATACGACTATATAGCAAGTTGTAGTAGTTATACAGTGGAGTAGTAGCAGTAGTAGTAGTAGAGCAGCAGACGCCGCCGTCTGTACCATATAGAGGTCCATGATGGAGGGGCCAACGTACCACGATTCGCATCTCAATCCAGCGGTTCCTTTGAAATCATGTGCATTGTTTTCTATATAGTTTCTGATATACTGAATTCTTTCTAAATGATGTGGATGACAGTAGCTTCATAGATAGATCCATTCACAATTGCTCTTTGCATTTGAAAATTTCTTTGGTGGCTCAGAGTTCATGTTGTCGTTGTTGCTTTGGTTGTCGTTGTTGTTGTTGTTGTGTTCTTGATTCTTTGCTTATGGCTCAGAGCAGCCTGCTCTTTTTGCCATCACGTGGTTTGCCAATCATTGTTGTATATTCATCTAAGTATTTACATAAGATTTTTGGTTTTTTTTTGGTTTGGTTTTTTGATTGGGTTTATTATTAACGAAAATTAGAAAATTATAATAAAATACATTTTGAGAACAAAAATTATTTGAAAATTGTGGTCGAAAAGGTTGTTTTGAGTGGATATAATAAAAGAGGGGAAATTAACCCGTTTAAGCCATAAACTGAAAGGGCGGGAACTTTAATATATTGTACAAAAATATTTATTTGGGGATTATCTGAAGGAATTTTTGTAACTCAAAGCGTCTCTTGGAAAAAGCTATAAATGAAGGATTTTTAGATGTATTTTTTGATGGAATAAGTGAATGTTGATTAGAGATCTGCAGACGAACTGTTAAACAATCGATAAATATTGGTAGGTTATCGAACATAAACTGCTGAAGATTGGCATAAGATAATCCCGGCATCTTCAATACTTTAACAAAGTTTCGGATGGAACATATAAAAGCTTGGAAGCTTTATACATAATTATTAGCTTAATTTAATCAATGTTCATTCCGTGACTCTCTGAACTAGCTTTACAGATCTCCAATCAATATATTATGAACAAAAAGCTCGTTGAGCTTATGAGCAGCGTAAAAGGAAAGCCAAGCTTTGAGATGATTTCAGAAAATGAGCTTTCGATGTTGTGATTCGAATAATGCATTCACATTTTAATTACATAGAGTACATATATACACGTACAACTGCGATAAATTGTATTGTAGTTTGCAAGTAGCTCAAGGAGCGCGCCCCAAAAATAAAATCAAAATTTTATATATATATATATATATGTATGTATAGTAATAGATAGGTCAAATTTGTAGATCATTGGCTTTGTGCGCAAGCTGTTTTTGCAGAATTTTGAAAGTATTTGTTTCGAATAGATATTGCCTAGTACGCTTAAGGAGGACAGCACAACAACTGCTAGGTGAGCCTCAAAGCAAACTGTTTGAGTACTGAGTACTGAGTGCAGCTGTGCAGGTTAGGAACTGTTTGCCGTTGGGCCTCACACAATGTTGCTCAACACTGGTTTCGAGAGCGAGAGAGACAGAGAGAGGGTGGCGTACGTTAGGTGTACCGGGGTGCACCGGGTGTTGAAGCGCAGCTCAGTTGTTAAGCTGGTGTACATTGGTGCTGCTGAATGGCATTCTTTTCGAGACGCAACCAAACACTCACCTGACTTGGGGCTGACCAGATCCTTGGTTTTATTGTTCATGCGACGCGGTCCAGTGCCCCCAGAGCCCATGGGCCCGGAGTGTGGACCAGAGCCTGGCGTGCCACAGCCACTGACGCCACCTGGAGCGCCTGATACAGTGAGCGAGAGAGAGAGTGAGTGAGTGGAATATGTTCGAGTAAGTGAGCTCTGTCGATACTTACGCTCACCTGGCAGCCGGGCCTGTCGCGGCTGCTCGACGGGAAGCACTCGTCTACGCTTCTTTGGCAGTTTGGCTCGCGCCTGCGTATGCGAATAGTACATGGCAAAGTTGCTAACGATGACGGGCACTGGCAGTGCAATGGTTAGCACACCGGCCAGAGCACAGAGGGCGCCCACGAACATGCCAATGTAGGTTTTGGGCGCCATGTCACCATAGCCAACGGTAGTCATGGTGACCAGTGCCCACCACAGGCCCAGCGGTATGCTATTGAAGTCGTTGTGCGGATTGGGCTGGATGCGCTCGGCATAGTAGACGAGACTGGCAAAGATCACAATGCCCAGCACCAGGAAGAATACCAGAAGTGTTAGCTCCTTCGCCGAGGCCCGGAACGTCTGTATCAGAATTTTCAGGCCGGACGAATGGCGCGTCAGCTTGAACAGACGCATGATGCGTATGATCGAGAAGAACTCGAGTATGTCAGCGTTCTCCAGATGCGATGCGAATCGCTGAAGCACTAGATCAATATAAAAACTAAGCGTCGCTATATAATCTATGATGTTAACAGATGACTTTAAGAATTCACACTTGTTCGGCGATGAGATAAAGCGGACCTGCAAATGAAAGAATAGCGAATAGAATTGAGTAACAGATCTTTGGCAGCGATGTCTCTGAAGGGCATTAGCTCATATGTTATTGATAGCCATTTAGTCTTGCAACTAGTCTAGAAAATTTCTATACTCAATTTGCTTATCTATTTCAATGTTTTCTCAACTTTTATGTCTTTTTATGTGACTAAAAAACCTTATTGACTTATTTTCGCTTACTGCTCCTTCTATCACCAATTGTGCTCAGCATTCACTTAAACCATCTCAACTCTCATCTTTCATTTATCTTTATTCCAGTTTCCTTCAGCTTTCGTCATCCTGTGAATATTTTCAGCTTCTTCAAGTCGACTGCAAGTGCTACTACTGCATATACAATAACTGTTTTGCTCTCAACTCTAACTCCCTTTTGCCCACAACTTGCATTCATCAACTCACCAATATCTCAAACGTAAACCAGGCATTGCAAACGCATTCTATGTAGAAGAAGGCGATGTGCGCATTGGTCATTGACTTGTCCAGAAACCAGGCGGCGCTGCCATTGGCCGTTTTCACTGTGACATTGTGTACGATGGGCACACGCATATCCGGATGGGTTTTCAAACAGAAGGACAATATTGAAATGCATATGAAGAACACCGAAACGACGCCAATTGTCTGTGTGGAGGGGAAAGAAGTGAGTTAAGCTGTAGATTCAAATGGACTACGTCTACTCACCTTGGCGGCATTTGAACTGTATGGCTCGTCGAATAGCGACCAAATGCGCGGCTTCATTTCCTGCCACCAGGAGATGGTGCCCTTATAATAGTCCTCCTCGAAGCCAAATTTGCGTGCCAATTCCTCTTCGGACGGTTTTTCCGTATCCAGATCTAAGCGATCGAGTACGGCTAGGGTTTCTTGTGTGTCACGATGCTGTACCAGACGAAAGTGTTAGCTATGATCCTTAACCATTGGCTTGCACTCACCTGTGTATAGGTCATCCAGCAACAAGGCTCCACCTGGTTCGAGTCAAGACCCCAAAACTCCAATTCCTCCTCAAACAGCGGACCGCACACATCCGTGGGATAATGCAGCTTGCCAGTTCTAGAAAGGATACACAGCATTAGCTATAGCTAGGGCTTAGATTTGCTAGATAGTTAGTCGCACCTGTAGTAGTTGAGCACTTGTGCAAATACACCTGGATGCCTGTCGAAGAAGTACTCGTTCAGTATGGGATCGTAGTTGGCCAGCGCTTCGGTCAGACGTGATAGACGCGTGGCTGGAATCTTCTTCAGTGTCGCCTTATACGTTTCATGCCTAATGCCGCCCACATTGAGCACGACCCGATTCTCCGAGTCCATGTTGATCAGGTTCATGGCTGCATGCGCATAGTGATTCATATTTTTAGGTATATAAGTCATAATCACAATACGTTAACTGATTGAGTAATGCGATCCGTCAGATCTGTGTTGTATCTGTGGCTAAGTTCTACGTTGGGTGTCTTTGTGGTTGTTTGTGTGAGCCGCAAACGCAAACCTGAATAATTGTCGTATTCCTTGCCCACGATTATGCTATGATTATGCTTTCTCCGCTGCTGGCGCCCCAAACAGTGCTCCTTCCACTCGTCTCACTCGCTCGCTCTCACACGGTCAGTTGAATGTGCCCAGCGCGCTTGCACTTGAAATTTATCTAGATGTTAGCACCACGAATGCATTTTGTTTGCTTTCGTGTGGCATTGAGGTACTCACTAGGTTGGATTCGGATTGGACAGCATTGCGCTGAAAATGAATTTTAAAACATATATATATATATATATATATTTATTTTACTTTATATATTTATTGATGAGACTTCTCTATTTAATTATTTAAATTAAATTTATTTATATAGTAGAGAGGTCAGCTTGAGAAAGCAAATGGGAAATTTATTTAGAATACATAGAATAGATGTTGAGTGTGTTCATAAAAGTATGAATATTATTTTAGATATATTGTTATGTGAATTTATTCAGTTGCCATTTCGAACAGAAGACATATATAGATATGTTTTATTTGCATATGAATAGCTCCTTCTTGACTTTGAATATTGTCCATATTCTTGAATACCTTGACAAATACAAATACAACATACATACAACTTTATATCGCACTATGAGAAACTTTGAGTGGGTCAATCGTGTCAACAACAATTCATACAATTCACATTTGAACAACCCCAAATATGTGCAAAGATACGACAAAGGAATAGGATAACATTCGGCCACATGTTCTAGGAAGCTTAAGCATTGCCTCTTCCGTCTGCCATTTGTGCCTGTCAATGGCTCAGGGTCTGTGTGAACAGCAACAGCCATTGACAGAGTTCAACACTCGTGATACTGGTTTGCATATGTGTTTAGTGCATTAACCTGGTTTCTCTTGCGGTTCATGAACGTTTGGCATGCTCAGAAAAAAGCATAATATAAATATTATGAACTGCATATGTTGCGCTGCCTAACATCAAGTTTGATTATGGGGTAATATATATATGCTTGACGTTTATATATATTTATAAAATAAATATTTAATATTATTATATATTTTGTACTCCCTTTCATAATGTCATTTCTCATCAACAAATTCGTTTGCATTTATCAAATTTAATCTAAAGATTCATCGACTCAAGTTGTTTTTGTGAACAGCACAAGAAAGAAGTTTATAGATTAACAAATATGAATAGTTCGACAATTTCTTTATACTTTTAGATTAAGTAATCAGTTCAGAGTAAGAAGCCGCAATTTCCACTGCAAATTAGATTTTATAGAACACAAATAATTTTGTATATTCAATCAGTATCCGATCACTGCGAAGAATTCTGAAATGCATGCAGCTACAGCCTTGATCTCTATGCCTGATGTACACAAAGTGTGTCTTTAATCAATATTTGTGTAAACAAATCATTAGCATATTCATATTTTATATCGGCACAAATGAATCTAACACTTTCGCACATCCTCCATTAGTTATTGGAAAAACAAATGGTTTATTGAGCGATTTGTTATGAATACGCGCATATCTCATCGCGCCACACACACACACAGCACAGTACAATAACTATGCAATCGGAATAGTGATTCAATTTTCGAATTCTCACGAGCTATGCGAATTCAAAGAAAATCCATAACTGATTGATGCTTCCTACTTCCCGGCACGAAGTGCTCTAGCATATTACGACTCCAGGTACATTTTCTTTTCCAAGGCATACACACACAAACAAAAGCCAAAACAAAAGCAACAACGAAAATTGAATTCGAAAAACCACTCACAATTATATTTGGTTCAATTGAAATGACCCATTAGCAGCTCGTGAAAGGCATCCCACGATAGAATGTTTTGGCTCTTCGAATGACTAAATTTAATCGCAGCTAGAATCAGATATAGAGTCCATATGTATAGATACATATACGGAGGAAAGAATATCATCGATAGCGTCATTGTTTTTTGCGCCTTGAGGTGCTGATTCGTGATTTGCACAAAAGCCAAATATTTGTTCTTAAACAATATTTAGTTTTAACGCTGCATTGTTTACACGCACACACTTTCGCCCATTGTATTCACGAATACACTCAGACCACAAAAAGAATAGATAGAAAAAAACACCCACATAAACTACAGCAACAGCCGTTCCATCGAAATGCTTGTCTCTCTATCTAGCTAGTTCTATCTCTGCCTGGGCTGACCGTCAGTCGATTCTCGATTGTCGACAGTCGATTTTCAATGTTCAATTGTTTACTGACTGCTCTGACAGACAGCTGGACTGACAGACAGACAGACAGACAGACGGGCGCAGTGAAAAACATGAGCTTTATAAACAAAACAAACAATCGCAACACACGCCGAGGGCACCGCAACGCCCCTCCTACCCAAGCCCAACAGAAGCGACGAGTAGTATCCCAGGCTAAATATACAAGAATCGTTTATGGTATATAGTTAGTAGGGTGTTCCAGTTGCGGTTGTAGTGCTTGGCAATTAATGCTAAACGATTATGTTGGGCACGGCCAACATAATGTGCTCAGTGCTTGCCAAACTGTATCGTTTACTAGTTTTACTATTTACTTTCCGCATAGCTCGCAGCCTATTGAGCATCAAATTAGAATAATAAAATGAATTTGAAGCAAAGTGCTTGTCCAACTGTAACAGCTTAACAAATGGTTATTATATTGTTATCTGTATAGAGAAGGTGACTTTAGTAGCAGCGTTCCTTTGTCATTGCCATTTTATATTCATCAGCATCAATCAAGCACTTGAATGTGTACTGAACACAATGCATGTCAAACTTTTTGACACCTCATATATACAGTTCATGTCAAACTGTTGACAACATTTATTATAATAGAAATTTCTACAATGGACTTGTTGGCTCTTTAGAAAATCTTTTAAGAATAGCTGCTATAATTAGGGTTCGCATTAAATATGCCAATAAATTGCCTGCTTCATTAGGGGTACTCGTTTCAAGAGCAACAGTGGAGGTTGTTGAATGCATGTCAAACTGTAATGTAATATATATATATAAATATATATATAGTATGTAGTTATGAGTTGTCCTTAAAAATACTGATTGCTTCATTAGAGTCTTGTGCACATATATGAAGAAAGGCAATGCTTGCAAAACTGTTGACAGCTAAGCAATATTTATTATTAATTAAAAACACACACTCAATTGTCTGCAAGGGCATTAAGCATAAACCAGGTATACATACAAACATCAATCATACATTTAAATGACTACAACATGCTTTATATATATATATAAATAAGGTATAAATATGCCACATATAATCAGCTAAGTCATTAGAAATCCTATTAATAAAGGTAAATCGTCAGCTAGTTAAGCTCGTATTGGGGCGCACAGCAATCGGAGCTTGACTAGTGAATGTCAAACTGATGGCAGGTCTAAAATTTAATATTATTTAATATTAATATCAGCATGAGAGCTGGCGAAGCCCCATTAAAAATGCTATTAATGAAGGTAACGCTAACGCTCATGGCTCCGGCTATATTAGGGGTACTCATTTGCCTGAGGCCAGAAGTCCCTTCTCTCGCCACGCCATCATTTATTCACATTTAATGAGCATAGAAGAACTTCAAAAAGCTCGGCGCGTACACATATTTAAAATGAGTTTTCTGTTTTTGTGGCGCTTGTTTGCCTTTTTATACCTAGCCCCACACACACACACACACGCACGCTGCACGCACACCAAAAACACACCCACAGCCATATCCTGTTGTTGGCAGCTCACGCACAGGGCTTTTGGGGCAGGCAGGCAGCAAGAGTTGCCCAGAGTGGTGGCAGTAGGTCAGGAGTGCTGCAAGCTGTAGTAGTAAGTAGCGTGTAGTAAGTGCGGCTCTGCCTCTAAATGCTGCTGTTTTTCTTTCATTTTTTTCTACTCTCTTTTTTGTTGTGGTATGAAGTCGTTGCTGCCTTCAGTTAGCTTGAAGTGTACACTCACACACACACTCACACATATAGAGTTAAGCTGTTGTGTGTATGTGTGTGGGAACAGGCGCACGCATCGATTTTTCCGTTTGGTGTAGCACGAAAATCTTCCTGATTGTTTTGCTGCCCGTTGACTTTAAAATGAACCAAATTTTTTGTTGTGCCCATGCCCGTCATAGATCACACTTTACACATTTTCCAGTTGCTGCCAGGTGTGTGTCTGTGTCTGTATACGTAAGAGACACGCACGAACACACACACTCATACACCCATACAGTTAAACCATTTTCAATGGCCGCTTCTCACCTATTTGCTGGACTTTTGGTTGTTGTGCGCGCTGCCAATAAACATAATCGCAGAACCGTTTGTCCGTTGCTCTCTGTATCTCTGCGCGTGTGTGTGTGTGTGGGTGTGCGTGTGTTTCTGTGACAAGCCAAAAGGATTGCAACAAAGAGGAAACAGTAACCCAAAAAAAAAAAGGGAAAATAACTTAAAGCCTAGAACTACACTACACTTTGTGCCGTTTAACGTGCCCCGTCTCGACGCTGCTTCTCGTTGTGCTCGGCGCTCGACGATTTCTTTCTATTTATTATTTTTTTGGGCTCAGCGCGTTCCGAACGATCCGATGCGATTCAACAAACTAAAGCCCGAAACACAAATCTGATGGAATTTTACGGATTACCTTCGGCATGGTCGCTGTGCTCTCTAGCATTGTTGCGGTGCATGCGCGCTGCGTTTCATCTCCGTTTCTCTTTTGCGCTGACATTCCACGTGGCTTTCGCCACTTGGCGGCACATGCAACGCTGCGTATACGTATTTCTGTGCTTAGAAATATTCCAAAAAATGTTTTCAATATTTAAAAATTGCAACAAGTCAATATTTGAAATGAAATTAATATTTGTGTGTGTTAAAGATCATCTAAATATTCTATGTTGTTGTATCGGACGTATACGTTATGTAGCAGCTTGAAGACTTAAGGAACTACAATTTTCAATAGCTTTATTATAATTTAAGCTGCATGCTAAAGTAAATAATATCATACAAAAAATGTATTTAAAAAGGATGGCAGTCTATGCTAAATGGAACAGATTGATTTGTTTCACTGTGCGTATACGTGATTTATGTGACGGGAGATCAAACAATTTCTTCATAAATGCAGCATGTTAATAGTGCGGTCATTATTTTTAAATACATATATGTCAATATGGGCAAATGTTTTATTTAAAATTAAATTTTTGAATGACATTTGGTGCACGCTGCGTATGCGCGATTTCAAGAGTGTGAATTTATATTTCTACTACAAGAATGAAGCGAATGATAAAGAGTATGAAATTAAAATGATCATCACTCGCACACAAATGAAGTTAAGTCTTTTTCATCCTGTTTTGAAAATGCTTAAATTGTTTCAATATATTCCTCATTCTATTAAAATTTGCACGAGCCGCTCGAAGTAATAAAACATGTATACTCCATAAGAAGTATTAATTGTCTATTAAGTCAACTGAATTTATATTTCAATATTTCTACACGTTTCTGCTGGGATTTGTAAAAATGCAATTAAAAGGCAACAAGAAGAAGGCATGGGTAGCCCCTTAAAGTGAACATATTTTTAATCAGGCCGACTAACTATGAAGATCTAACCATCTTCGTCTGTACATTCGTATGAATTCAACAATCTCGATAACCTCAAAAGCTAGAGGCATAAAATTTAAAATCTCTGTATAACTTGTAGAGTTTATTTTTTTTAATGATAACCCATATCATTTCCCAATTGATTTGGGTTTTTAATCTTCACTAAACAGGGTAACTTTCAATTTGCTTTTATAAATGCTCAAATTCAGATATTAATAGCACTTCTTTTCATATGCATCGTCAAAATTACATTAATGCAATTCACATATTAATATTTACACCGGTGCAAAGTGCCAAAAAAAGCGCTTTAATCTTGCTTTTATTATAGCCATCAAAGCTATTTAAATCTTGTTCGACTTGCCCATTAAAAGTGTTTAGATTTAGCAGTTGCAGACATAACAAAAGTGAGCTGCAGTTTGCCAAATATGAGTATAGACAATTAATTATAAATACTTGTATTATTTATTTCATTTAAAATCCAGTTTTCACAGTTGCATTATGTAAACAATTTCCGGGAACGTAAAAAATGAAGTATAGAGCGAATTAAATAAAAGAAAAGACCGAACTCAAATTGATTTAAAGTTAAACAAAAGGTATTCTGCGTGGGCAACTGAGAAAAACAATTAAAATATACTACGAAATGCAAATGCAATTGGCTAGTTGAGAAAATGTACGCAAAGGTGTGTGAGTTAGCATGTGTGTGTGAGTGTGTGTGTGTATATATTATGTGTCTATATATGTTATTGGAGAGCATCCACTGAGCAGTGACTGAAAAATTGAGAATTTAAATAAACATCTTTCGAACAGCTGTCGGTGTTTGGGGTTTGTGTGTAAAACTAAAGCTATGCAAAGCTCAGGCCTGCTGCTCCTCGCTGCCCGAGGCAGAGGTGTGCCAGACGTGGCCCATTTCGAGTGCTTGCAGTTTCAGCATCTCCTTTTGGCTGTCCTTGGCCTGCAGCAGGAAAACGCTTTGCTGCAATTGGATGGGAATTAGCTAAAGATATATATTTATAATAGAGCTTATCCAAATACTCACTTTAACCTCCTTGGTGGTCAGCACGTCCATTTTGTCATATATGATGGCATGAAGACCCAATTCCTTCAGCAGCTTGATTGTATCTTTGGAATTGTTGTCATCGCCCCAGCAGAAGAGCACCAGGCCACGCTCCTTTGCCAGATTTACCTAGAACGCCTGTTTAGGTAAAAGTCCAACAAAGTCCAAAGCTGCTCTGTGGCAGTTCAGTTTACCTGGCTGGGATCACGCAGCAAGTCCTCCGTATGTGCCACAATGCCTAACAGCTCCATGGCCACTGCATGCCAGACGGCCGTCTCCATTGAATTGCCACGTGGATCCATATACTTCTCGTATTTGGTCGTATGGCCCAGTGTAAGAAACATGACCGGATAACGATTCTGCTTGTAGCGCAACATGGTGCATATGTCCGGATCAAAGCAGCTGAACACAACGCGTCTGCTGCCCGCCTTGCGCAGCACCACATCCAAAATGCAATCGAGATAGAGATTGCGATCGACCACATGCTCAAACTCCTCCTCCATGCGACCGTCCTGCAGACGCTGCGACCATTTAATCTCTATGTTAAAGCCAATATGTTCATCCATGGCATCCAGCACATCGGCCAGTTGCGGAAACGGCTGATGCTCCAGCAGATCATCATTATGAAAGGAGCGTGTCTCACGCGACAGTCCCTCGGCCGTATGATACACTTTCAGCTTCTTCAGCTGCTCCAGCGTCAGCTCACGCATGGGCAGCGACAAAAAGTCGTGCTCCTGCATGCTGCACTTGCTCTTCAGCGAGACATAGATCATGAAATCGTGATAAACAACCGGCACTAGATCCTTGCTCAATTGTACATCAAACTCCACCATGTCGGCGCCATGCTCGGCAGCGTTCTTCAACGAGGTGATTGTATTTTCTCTGATCACTGCGTCCTTCGCCTGGAAAGATGATCATTTAAGTAACTATATCTGTAAGACTGATTGATGAAAATGTATTTAATTATTACTTCCAATTCAATGTGCGAAATAAATCTTTAAATTCAATTTTATAAAATTTAGCTAATTTGAGTTATTTATCAATTGCTATCTTGAAAATATACTTAAATCTTTCTCTTTAAATATATATGTTTTATCTTTATTATATCTTCATATGGTCATACTGCCCACAACCCAGTTTCAGACAAATTTCTTTATCAAGATTTACTCGGCTATTACTCATGATGAACTAATTGAAATATATATTAATATTATAATTCTGTTCAATTTGACTTTGATTTGATTAAATTAGATTACAAAATAAGAACAGGTCTGACAACAGTGAAAGAGTCGAAATTTTCCCACATCTGTGGATCAATTTCATTGAAGAAATGAATTGAATAAAGTATGTATTCGCGCCTCTATTAAACTGAATCGTCTTATGGATCTGAAGATATCTCTGCTACATATAGCTCATATAGTTATGTGTTCATCAATATCATGATTTAGTTGTAACATTCTCGAATAGTTTAATTTTCATCCCGCCCACCAAAAAAGTTAAATTGGAACCTGTTCATCGATTTTCAGAATTTCGATTTGGTTTTCTACAAACTGGTTCCCTGAATAATGTAATCTGTTCAAAATACCTTAGGTTCATCATATTGTACACATATGTATGTATGTATGTCTGTCTGTGTGTCTTCACTGAACGTACTATAAAAGAGCTCATCATAAGAAAATCTATAATATTGATATGTTTGGAAGAAGTTCATGAGAGTAAGTAGGTGATAAATATTTTTAGTCTGTATTTGATTTCTGCTCACCGACGCATATGCAAGACCTACCTTAAAGCTGGTGCCAGAGCCACGATGTCCCACATCTAGGCCAGTCCATTTATTGTTCCAATAGCGTGTATAGCTCACGCGCATGTCCATGTGGGCGCTGTGAGATGTGGGCTTGACTATCAAGTAGCCCAGTCGCATCATGCCCAATGGCCGGTGGGTCTTGGCACAGGTAATAGGTAGCTCCAGATTGCCTTCGGAACGCTTGAATAGATTTGGCAGCACATAATGATAGCCCAGATGATGCGGGGGGCCATCTTCCCTCTCCACCTTTGATTTGTAGCTGTATAGATCGACCAGATAGGCCGCATTGTCCAGATCAGCAACAGTCAGATGAAAGATGACCAAGTCAGTGGCGCTGCAAGCAGTGCCAAATTGTTCCTGGGTGCGCACCTCGCAGCTGTCGGCACTGAGGGTGACCACCTCGCTGAAGGCAAAGGCTGTGCTATCGCCGCCATTTTCGCGCGTGTCATGAGTGTCATTCGAGAGCGAATCTTCGAGCGTGGTGACGGGTGCCACCTCAGCACAGCCGGTGCTGGGTATGCGCAGATTCATGGGCGTTACCTTGACGTGCACCAGACGCCGCTTCATACGCTGCTTCCAGGTGAATGGAGCATAGAAAAACTTCAGCTGCACCAGCGACTCTTTGGTCAGCCAGCCGCGATCCACTTTCTCCTTGCCATTGACACAGCCAAATGTATCCTGGCAGACAGCCGGCGGCTCATCCAATTCCTTAATGCAACGTGGCTCCAGCTGCACTTCCCAGCGACGCACCAGCAGCTGCTCTGAGACGGCATCTACACCAAAGACCACATAGCGATATTCCGTGTCACAGTGTCGTGGTATGTACACCTGAGCTGTCCAGACATAGCCATCTTCGTCCTCATCTTGCGATTCCTGACGAGTCATTAACGCTGCACCAGCATGCTTCCAATTGCCCAGTGCCTCGCAGCTGCCCACAATCCCGAGCTGCTCGCAGGCGGAGAGCTTCTCGTTCATCCTGACAAGAAATGTCCAGAGACGATTGGTGCTAATGTCGCCGTAGATACGTTGAGCAGTGGGCACCGCCTCTGCCACTGGGCACACAGAAGGTGCGGCCATGGCATCCTCCTCGCAATCGTAAGCAGGCTTCCAGCGTTCCATTGCCAAATAATTGATTGATTCTTTGACGAACACAAAAAACTTTCACCTCAGTAAATTTTCCAATTGTTGACTTCTGTTGCTCACCGAGGCAAGGACAGGGCAAAGTTCTTTACTGCCTGTTGTTTTTGGTCTTGTTTTTGTTGCTGTTGCCGACTTTAAAGTTCCAAGCACATTCTGACATTTGAGATATGCTCAAACAAAGAACACGAAGCCTCGGTCCGATTGTCCGCTATCGAGCTAAAAATTGTTTTTGTGTTTCACTGCTGCAATCAACGAGCAGCTGTTTTTCATATATATTATGAGCGCATGTTTGTCGGTCTATAAGATAGTGTCTGGTACGTATGCTCCACTTTTTTATAATTGTTGTATATGTGTACGTATCGAGTTTATCGCGAATTAGCGTTGTTAGCACTCAAACTGAGAATAAATGTTTGCAATGTATAAAATTTGAGCTGGCCGTAAGTGACATATTTTATTAAGGTTACCTGCTACACAAAATAAGTGACGTCACATGATAGATTTGTTAACAGATACTAACGTACCATCTTAGATTTTTATGTTTTTACATCAATCAACATAATACATACATCATCAAACATAATATTTATATCAAACACATATTATTTTAATTGCATATCTAATAAACCGCATACAAATATAATTTCGTGACATCACAGAAACTCACTTACTGCGATTGCTACCTCTTACTTTTTTTGTACTAAGCATTGCCATTTTGAGTAGAGTTGCCAGACTGCACAGCTTGTTTCGTAGCAGCCAGCTTTAAACAGCACTTCATTTGTTTTGGCGGGAAATTTACACACTTGTTTATTGTTTATTATTTGCTGCTCGCTGTTTTTATTTTACCTATCTCAATATGGATCAATATCCAGACGAGAATGAAGAGTTTGAGCTGCAGTACCAAGATGAAATGGAACTGCTTGAGGACATGCCTCACGAGTATGATGCCGTCGACAATGGGCCCAGCACATCTCGTCAGGCAGCAGCTCTACTCGAGCAACAACAACAAAAGGCAGGAGGAGCAGCAAATTTATCTGTTGCTGGCCTCAAGGATGTCTCGCGCTTTAGCAACTCCACGCTTAACTCTCCACAGTTGTCACAGATTACATTTGGCGCCAGCCAAAGTGAAGCTGCTGGAGTTGGACCAGTAAGTCGACGTCTCTTTGGAACGCCCAGAGGCCCGACAGTGGGGCGTGGCTGCTCGACGCCAATGCAGCGCATGTCGGCTATAGAGGAAGTACTTACTCCCACTGCCGACAAGACAGCACCGCTGTTAAATGCCGCCGCAGAACAGTTGCAGGAATTGGGCCTGCGTGGCAGTAACAAGCGACGGCTGGAACGGGATCTCTTCGGCGATATTGACGACCTGTATCACGAGAGCTACGAAGATCCCATGCTGAAGAAGGCTCGAACTGAGGAGCAACGCGACAATGAAGCCATCGAACGCATCTTGGAGCTGAGGCGCAAAATGCGAGAGTCCAGCAAAACGGTGCGCCAGGATGAGGTATCGCGTCTGCGGGCGCTCCATGACTTCAAAATGAAGAATCTCTCATACGAAATACCCACCTGGCCATTTCTAGCGCTGCAACGCAGCGATCTGGAGCGCCTCTATGTGCGTTTTCACTCGGAAGACTATGAGCGACGGCAACTGGAGCTGCTCAGCGCAAGGGACAATATAACAGGCAGCCTGCTAGGCGAGGCCAAGCAACAGATCTGGCAGGAAGCCAACGAGCTGGTAGGTTAGGCAAAGCACAGTGGCAAACACTCGTCTAACAATCTGTTATTCCAGGTGCTGCGACGTATGGCACCACCAACACAGCTCGTCAATCCCGAGCCAGCTGTGCCCACCGTAGATTTGGGATGCCTTTGGGTAGACAAGTACAAGCCACGGAAATACATTGACTTGCTCTCGGATGAGATGACCAATCGCAGTCTGCTCTATTGGCTTAAAATGTGGGATAAGGTTGTCTTTGGAAAGGTCTTTCACAGCAAGCAGGAGCAGCAGGCAGCCAACGTGGGAGCGCCCGCCGGTCAACAGCTAAACAGCTTCAACAAGCGAACTGGCAAATTCGAATCCAATGGCGGCTGGCGTCAACGCAAGGCGCGTCTAGCGCTAAACACCAATGTGGATGAGCTGGGCAGACCCATGCAAAAGGTGGCACTACTTAGCGGTCCTCCGGGTCTGGGCAAGACAACACTGGCGCACACAATTGCCCGTCATGCCGGCTACAATGTGCGGGAAATAAACGCATCCGATGATCGCAGCCCAGAGGCCTTTAAGTTGGCCCTGGAGAATGGCACACAAATGTCATCGGTGTTAAACGAGGACAAACGACCCAATTGCATTATCCTGGGTGAGTCGCGGCTTCATTTGTTACTAAATAAATATTTAACTCCAACCTCTATTTAGATGAAATTGATGGCGCGCCACGTCAGTCCATTGAGTATCTGGTCAAATTTGTCAGCGATGGCATCTTCAGCAAGGTCAAGTCCAAAGGTGCCAAGGCGGAGCACAACGTGCTCCGTCGTCCCATCATCTGCATTTGCAACGACATTTACGATCCCGCCCTGCGACCCCTGCGCCAAATTGCATTTGTCGTCAACTTTCCGCCCATCGATGCTGCGCGTCTAGCCGAGCGGTAGGCGGCGAAGATTTTATAAATGATTTTAAAACACAATTGAATCATTTTTCATATTTTAGATTGCTACAAATTGCGCACAAGGAGCACTTGAAAACGGACTTTGGTGCACTTATCTCTTTGGCTGAGAAAACAGGCAACGATGTGCGCAGCTGCATCTCCTCTATGCAGTTCTTTAAGTAAGCTATGAACAGATCAGGAGAACTAATAGATGATATGAAATTTAGAATTACCTATGGACCTCTTGCAATAGGCAGTCGTCAATTAAGTTATATTTCATATTCATTTATTATATTAACTTATTATTCTCTATAATTTTTGCACTTTACAGCGCCCAAAAGCATTGTTTAACGCTTCAGGATGTGCTCAACAACAATCTGGGTCAAAAGGATAGGCATCAAGGACTGTTTGATGTGTGGGGTGCTATTTTTAGGGTGAGTATTTATAGCTTATATATTTAAATATATATATCGGCTTTTTTATTTGCATAAAACTAATCTCGTTTAAAAGACACAACTTTATGAATCTAAATTATTTTATTATTTATTTTGTATTCATCTAAAATGGCTTCTGATCGAATCTTATATAGTTCTTGACGAATGTCTCCGGCATTATATATAATTATTTTATATTTTAAGAAATTTCCATAACTACCAACATTATTATTATATATATATATATATGTCATACCCATATCCACAATCACATCGCCCCATCTTAGAGCCATTCATTCATGCATACATACATACATTTATGCTATATACAAAATAAACTATATAAAGTAATATTCCTCTTTCATTCATAGATACAACGGCCAAAGAAGCAGCTGCAACAAAGCAGCTCGAACAATGCTGAGGAAACTGCTCAGGTGACCATGACGAACATGTCCGTGGCAACGAGAGTGCGCAATGTGCTCGACGTGGTGCACTCCAGCGGAGATTACGAAAGGTACGCAGACACTTGAATACCCTTAAGAACAGACAAGCCAAAATTGAACTTATCTTAAATTACTCTAGACTCACTCAAGGCGTCTATGAGAACTATTTGCAGCAAAAGATGCCAGATCCAAATTTTACGGGCATCTGCGAGGCTCTGCAATGGTTTTGCTTTGCGGATACGCTACAGCATCAAATCTCACGGCAGCAGAACTACAGCATCTATCCATATTTGCAGTACGGGTTTGTGGTTTGGCATTTGCTCTTTGCCACATTGGCCTGGCCGAAAATTGCATTTCCCACGCGTGGCTTTGAGGTAGGCAAACGATGAGGCTTGCACTGGGCCCCGGGTCGCATCATTTCTTTTCATTTGGCATGTAAGCAGTGGGCTCTTTGAGCCAGCCTCATGTATTATGCAATCCTCATTAGCTGGTGCAAACAAACCTGGCGAGGGCCACAGAAAAGTGCATAATCAACACAATCAAGCCTTGTAATTTCTTGTGCATTATGTGCCTCAAATGCAATCACAAGATTAATGAGAGTTCTGCATAGATTCCGCCTGTTTACACTAGCCCCCATTCACTTGCTCTCCCAGACTTATTCGCTCTCTTGCTCTTCATTCACAGTTCAATCAGAAGTCCACGAACCAGCGCAACATCTTTCAGGCGCTGCGCAAGGGGGTCACCACATCAGCACAGGGCGTGGGCCAGGGCAGCATTCTACTGCTGGATACGGTGCCGCTGCTGAAGCGTATTCTTTCGCCACAGCTACGCTCGGTGGCTGTTCAGCTGTTATCCCAAAAGTGAGTGTTTTATAAGATCGAGTAAATAAATATATATATTTAAATATATCCCCCTAGGGAGCAATACGATCTACGCCACACGATTCAAGTGCTGGTTGATCTCGGCTTGAACTTTGTGCAAGTCAAATCAGCGGAGGGACATTATGTGTTTCAAACAGAACCGGACTTGGATACGCTGTGCGGGTTTCCAGGTGAAGTCAATGCACAGCTGAGCGCACCCGCATTATCAATGAATTAATGAGCGTTATATTATAGGCTTTCCTGGACTTACGCTGCCCTACTTCAGTCGCCAGCTGATAGCACGCGAGGTCGATCTGGAGCGCATACGTCGCGCCGCGCCCAAAGGTGCTTCGTCGGATGGAACAAAGAGCGCAGCAACAGCAGCTTCAGCACCCGGCCCGAAGCAGAAGGCAGTTGCAACGCGTCTGCCAAATCATTTGCAAACATTGAAGCCAAAGCAAATAAGCGACTTCAATGCGCCGCCCAAGCAGCAGGTGAACTATGGCTGCTCTTCATATTTCTATCAATTTGCATGCCTTGCATTTACTTAGCAGCAATTCTGTTGCAAATTTTGGTGGCGCAGCTTATTGAAATTTAGCTTTACCCAAATTGCCACAACCTCTCATCCGCAAATCCGCCTTCGACTTCGAGTCCCTCCGACTCGTTGCTGCCGCAAATCCTGTAAAAGCTAATAACCCATAAGGGGATTCGGCTGCCCATTGTCTTCGGGGTCGTAATGTGGGATCAGCGCAAACGAACATTTATTGCCAATGCTAAACGAAAGCGACTGCCAGCAGCAACAACAACAGCAACAGCAAAATGTCATCTTCACTGGGGTTGTGCCTTTGTTTAGGGGTTGCTTTTGGCCAACCTCTTCATTTCTCTCACTTAGAGATGAAGCTTTTCTTTATTATTATATGGCAAATTTCATTTCATTTCATTTTAGCATACTCCTTGTTTCTTTTGCATTATTATTTAATTATAAAATTCACATTTTTTCTTCATTTTTCTGCAGCTTACGAAAGATTTCTTTGGGCGCGTTACGCACAAGACAACAGCAACAGCTGCAGCAGAAGAAGGTAGGCTAATGGCTTTGCATCTTAAAAATGAATTATGTATTTTTTAATTTTTAAATATTACTTTGCAGTTAAAACTGATGCAATTGTTAAGAGTCCCATATGGTATCGCTATAAGGAGGGCTTCAACAATGCTGTGCGAAAAGATGTGCATCTAAATGAATTGCTTTAAGGAAGAATTATTTCAATTTATGTTGTTATTATTACAAATATATTTATTATTTAGCTGATAATGGATGACTTTCTAATAGCTCGTGCTTTAATCAAAAGTCTGAATGTTCATTGCTCTTAGTCAAAGTTGAGCACACACTGTAAAACCAGTTTATACAAAAAGTACACCCTTTAATCTCCTTAAGTACAGTGAAACCTGCTAGTACAGTACACAATTTGTAACATATTTAAAGCAGAATCAATAAGCAGATTTTTCAGTTCTTAAATTTCATATTATTTGCGCTCACTATAAACTCCAGCATTTGCTTAAAGGTTCTCTTTCGCTGAACAACTTTTCACTATTCACAATTCAATTGAGCCACGCTCTATATGTAGCTGTAGAGATCTTTGACATGCATTCATTGTGGACCACAAGCTGGAGTCACATGCATTCCCTTTTGGCGTAGAACTGTCTCATGGAACTGCTTATCGCATCCGTGGGCTATCGGCAGCTATGTGTGTGTGACTAAGTAATCGAGTGTGTGTGTGTGTGCGAGGTGTTGCCGCTGCCAAGTATGGCGTTGCTCTGGCAACACTTACTCACTCACTCACTCGCTCAGTTGTCGGCGGGTGGTGCTATGCTATATACTATCAGGCAGATGTCGCCGCTGAAGCCTTTGTTGTTGCTGCTGATGCTGCTTGGTTGGCTGGGATGTGCTGAGATTGAGGCACGTTATGTGCCCGGTATGCCTAGTGAGTTGGTGTGACACAGTAGCAATGCATCCACTAATTGTTGTTGAATTGATACAGATATTTGCATGAAGCCGCCGCCTTTCTCTGAGGGCATGTGCACCATTGAGATCGAGGGCTTCTACTATGATCCGGCCACGCTCGACTGCCAGATGTACTCGATTGGCGCTTGCCGTCTGACGCCCGGCCAGAGCTTCGGCAGCCAGGAGGACTGCGTGGCGACCTGTGTGCTGGGCAAGCGTCGCAGTCCCGATTACTATAGAAATGAATGAGACTCTGAGACGAATAAATCGAATCTTTTCTGTCTACTATAAAAAACAAACTGCGTTTGATTTTAATCGAGCCCCGGTGTTAATCACCGCCCTGACCCGTGACGTAATTGTTTATTTCCAATGAGCATCTGAAACGTGCTTGACTTTGTCTTCTTGTGGCATGTTCCAAGCAGCAGCCTAATTAATTGCTTTACTTAGTTGAGACTCGAGCCACGCTTGCGTCAGCTCTTAATGCGCTCACTTATAGTTTGATCGTCTAAAATAATTTTTTTAATTAAATATTAATAAATTAACTTAGCATTAAATCTATTTCTACAAAAATAAAAAAAAAAATAATTTAAAAAAAAATTCAATAAGAATTATATTTCATGAAACTATATTTAATTATTGATATAATTATAGAAATTTATGCAGCATGCTTAGCAGATTTAGTAAGGCCAAATAAGTGTAGTAAGGATTCGTTGTTAGACAGGCCTTTCCATGGCTAGTGGGCCGGCCTTCTGCAACAGGCGTTTGCCGGTTTGAGCCGGAATTCCAACCCCCAAGCGGCGATCCCCAGGCAAAGGCCCGCTCCATGCATATTATCAACATCGCACATGCAGGCAGCGAGACATCAGAGACTCAGTCCCATTGTTGTTGTTGTTGTGCTGTTATCAGTCAACGGCAGCGTCAGCAGCGGCTATTGGCAGAGCACAACCTGATTACGAATCTGTTTGCCTTTTGTTCGAGGTTTCGAGTCGAGTTTGCGACAGCAGCAAAGCAATAGCTCAGCCAGCGATCAAATGTGGCGCAAGACCCATTTTTATATTCATTCTCAAGCACTGTGAACATGCCAAAGCATCAGTCTATATAGCTAAAAGGTGACCGGAACAAGTCGTATAAAAGTTAATCTGCAAGTGTGCCAAAAGATTTTGTGTGTGGAATATTTGGCTGTGCGCTGAACCTGCCTTTGTCGCGTATTAAAAAACTCATAAATTGCACAAGAAGACGAAGAGGCATATCAATAGATCGGCATATACTATAAATTGACAACTGCTGCGCTTCAATATATGGCGGGAGGCAGCTGCCACTGCTGCGCATTTCTCTACAACTTCGTCGCAGCGACAGTCGACAGGGAATCTATGGAAATACAGATGATAGCTGCCAGTCAGCCAGCCGCAGTACAGAGCTGAATTTGCCAGGAGCTAAACAACAGAAGAGAAAGGCACAAGAAATATCTTGAAATATTAATTTGGAGCCACCAAACAGATTCAGCTTCAGCTTCAGCTTAAACATTGGCAAAATGAACGCCTCGACGGGAAGCAGACAAATCTCGCTGCTGCTTGTGCTATTGGCACTGTGCCTCGAGTGGCAGATGGCTGTGGCACGCACACGTAAGTCTCAACTTGCTAACGAATTCGTTAATGTCTCTGAGTCTCACTTGAGTTTGGCGCACAGGTGATCTATGCCAGGTGAAGCCCAGCACGAGCAGCCTGTGCGTGCCCACCACGCTTGGCATTTACTACGATGTGGAGACGCAGCACTGCCATTTCATGGGCTGCAGCAATAAGCGACTCTTCGGCTCGCTGGAGGATTGCGAGCGGATTTGCAACAATGCGCGACATGTCAAGCGCCGCAATAACTCGTCCAACAAAAGCAATCAAACCACAAATTGAATATAAGCACTTGCAATAGCAATAGCAATAGCACTAGCTGTAGTTCTTATTAACATCAATCATCAATCATCAGTCGACAGTAATCATCAATTCTCATTCAGCCATCAGTTATCAGACATCACGACAGCTATACTCGCAGGCGGCCTTGCTGTCGAAACGATTCTCGTTGCCCCCGCAGCCGCCATAGATGAAGGCCTCGCAGCGACGCTCGAGTGGATTGTAGGCGTAGCTCTCCACATAGCCAAAGCAGCGGCCGCTGACCATGGGCTGCAGGCACAGCTTAACTGCAACATGTTCCACATTATTTGCGAATTGATGAAGCAACTGTTTTAGCCTTACCACGTTTCGAGGCGCCATCAACTTCACCCAGCTGCAGGAGCAGCACTGGGAGCAGCAACAGCAGAGGTAGCAACTGCCATAGCCAAGGCATTCCGTACAACCGACTCGTTCTTGGGTTAACAACTCACTAAACGCGCTCCGACAATTGTTTGTTGTTTATTGTTTTTTTTTTTCAAAATATATCTTTTGCCTAGCCAAGATTCAACATTGACCAATTTAAATGCAAATTCGGCCATGACGACAGCCAAGTCATCTACTTCACTGCAAAAGACATCCAAACTGTACTTTTTTAAGCATCACAAACAATGTTTGTTTTAGCTTTAGCTTAGATCATCTATTTATTTTATATACTAACGATTAGATTACATTTTATAAAGCTGATGTATATAGTATATAAGGTTCATAAGTTCTATATGAATATTAATATTAAATTGATATCATCTATTTAGCTAGTGATCAGTCTTTTCTTTCAAGTTTATTCAATGAACTTTTGCTTTGTTTTTGGGTATTTACTTTCGTTTTTATATTATTGAATTAATATACATATTTTAATTTTGCTTTGGCTTCTTCGTTTATAAACAAAACACAAATCGGTGAAATTCTCATAGACAATATGTAGTTTATTTGACATGTCTTCAAAAATAATTAAAAAAAAAGATATAATAATTAATAATGTTAGTACATCGAACATTGATAAAATGAAATATTAAAGTAAATTTTTGTATATTTCAAATGTGGCATAATTAGATGCGCTTACTTAGAAAAAATAAAGATATAAAATAAGATAAATATAAATATAATAATAAATAAATATAATAAAAATAAATTATGTTAAAATAAAAATAAAAATAAAAAAATTATATATGAGTGAAAAAAAATACAATTTGACTTAAAACACATAAATACATATACGGTTTCCGATGTCCATGGTAGCTCAGAAAACGGCGTTACCAGGCTCTTACAAAATATATATATATTTTTTCGATCAGAAGCAATCGTCTAAGAAGCAATGAGTCTGCCTGTCTATTCATGTATGTATATTAACACATTAATTAATAATTAACATTAATCTCTGAAAGCTTAAGAGCTAAAGCACGCACAGATCAAGTTTATTTCAAATAATTGATAACATTTTTCATTTTTATGAAATCGTTTTAAGTCCAAATGAAACTTTGGCTTTTTTAATAGATCTATAACGTTATAAAAGCTAGAATAAGCTCGTCAGGCTTATAACAAACTCGAGTAGTTTACTCTCTGGTATATCTCCTCCAATCTCCACTTTCATTAAAGTTATATATATGAATTTCGGTGTTAAAATTGTGCTTAGCAAGATACTATACTTACAAGGCTTTACTGTCATACTGTATATCCTCTATATATATCAGCTGACTCTACCAATAGCCCCAACTTCTCCACCAATACCCTACGTTCATAACACTTATAGCACACGGCAGCGTTGCTCACACGAAATGACGTAAAACTTTTGCAGTGGCAACAACAAAAAAACATGTTCCGCATATCAATGACAACAGCAGCGGCTACAGCAACAGCTTGAGATACAGATACAACAAATTGAAGTTGATTTTGCTGCTGGAATTTCCAATACGTTTGCGAAAAGAAAAAACGAAAAAAACACAGAACTAGCTGGGCTTTCAGTTTCAACTGAAGTTGTTTACGCACTGTCTCATGCATATGCTAATTGAGGTATAGATAGAGGGATACACTTGGGACTTAAAGCGCACAGGCAGCTCTGGCTAAGTTAATTGAGTGAACCAATGAGTGGGAAGTCGAAATAGTGATAGAGAGAGAGAGAGAGTTGGCTGGGCTGATGCTCTCAATTTCGAGCTGTGCCTAATTTAGTAATTAAGCGCAGTTTTGGATGACGAGCGACGCAATTAATGTGTCTCGCCTGGGCAGCAGTTCAATTATTTCGGGCAAATTAAACAGATAACTGAATTGTCACCACAAGCACAGCGAGCGAGTAAGAGAGAGATAGGTAGATGGACATCATTTCGGCTATTCAATCAGCCAAATTTACGTGCCACCCACGCTCCACATATGCTTCTGTGTGTTGAGTTGGACTAATGAATAAATAGCACGACTGTTGACTGCAGTCCTCATCATCTTCATTATCGTCATCATCATCATCATCATCTTCATCGTCGTTGTGATTAGCAGCATAGTTAAGTGCTAATTCAATTTGCCCTGTGCATTAACACCTAGCTAACGTTTTTGCCCAGCCTCAGTTCAGTTGCCACGCCCACATCTGTTGGCCGCTCAGTCTAATTATTAGCAACTGGCCGTCGTGGGACCTGTCTCAATGACAAATGCATTATTAATGTGCCCTGCAAAGTGCAACACTTGAGTCCTACTTAAACTTAGTAATTGCTGTCAAACACGTGACTTAGACCGAAGACACGTATTTCTTATGCAAATTATCGCATTGCCCCGGAAATTCTATTTCATTTGTAATTTGCTTCTAATGTGTGCATGTGTATCTGTATGTGTGTGTGTTTCAAAAATATCAAGTGATAGTTGTTAAATGCTTATTGCGTCATAAATTGCTTTACTTTGTTGACGAACGATTCACAGTGAAATTCAAAATTTAGTCAGCACAAAATAACTCAGGAGCAGCAGGAGTAGTCGACTATTGGGTTACCATGTAAATGTTCATCGATATATGTACGCCACAATGGGGGTGTGGCAAATTAAAAAACACTAAAACTTGCTGTTAATCTCTGCTGCAAATAGAGAGCTGTTTGTTCATTGCATATTTGCAAATCTTAATAAAAATTTAATTAAAATATACAGATTACTTTTTTAATATTAAAATATTTTCGGTATTGTTATTTGTTATTATGTTATTCTTAAATAAAAATGTTTTACATTAATGTTTCTCATAGCGACTTAACATGTTTTGGAATAATGCTGAGATACAATTAAAAGGTTAAGAATTATATGTCTGTAATTATATAAAATCTTTCCGAAACATAAAAAATATATAATATATTATATATGTGACATATTCTTATAAATATTATTATATATAAATATATTTTTAATTATTCATAAAACCCATTTCTTTTCATAAAAACTAATTTCAATTCCAGTACTGTTTTTAATTTTTATTAATTTTTTAAAAATATATTTAATTAGCTCTTACAATTATATATATATATATATATATATATATATATATATATATATATATATATATATATATATATATAAATATATAAAATTATAATAATAAATATATATATATATATCAAGTATTTTATAAATTTGCCGTAGACTTTGATAACCGTAAAAGCTAATTAAACACATTGTTGCTAATATTTAAAAAAATGTGTAAGTGAAAAACAAAATATATATATATATATATATATATATATATATATATATATATATATATATATATATATATAAATTGAATTTATTGTATTTTAGCCTATGCAAAGAGTATTCAATAAGCAAGCAAAACAAAATATGATAGCTGTGGAATCTCTAGCTTACATATTTATTTATATAATGCATATATACGTATACATTTATATACATATACATATACATATGTGTAAATTTAATAATTAAGCTAGTTTGTGTTCAACACTTCGTATGCGCAATTTAAGCTAAACGCCTCGCTTAACAGAGTCTCATAGGCACACACACAAACAGACACACACACACATCTCGTACGTCTAAATATATATTTTATATTTTTCAAAAAGCTCGTTAGACAGCTTTGGCACAAAAAATAGAGGATTCAGTTGTTGTTTGCAGTTATTAACGCGCAGTTATCAGTGATCACATTGAGAATGAAACGAATGACGAGAGTGACTCAATTTCTGTGCTTGGCCGCAATTATTTTTCTCGGCCTCACGCAGCTAGCTGAGGCAGTGACCACGACCAAGCCCAAACCGCTGGCACAGGCACAACCACAGGTGGTTGGCACCACTAGCAGCACCACAGCCAAGCCAATTGCCAAGCAGCAGCCAACGCAGCCGCAGCGCAAACAAGGTGAAGTCTGAAAGAAATTCTCTCTTTACGAGTTCATTCAATTTCGAAATTTGCGACAGATGTCAAATGCCTGCAGCCGCTGGAAACGGGTCCGTGTCGCATGAGCCTGGAGCGCTTCTACTACAACAAGGAGAAGAACAGCTGTGAGACATTCAAATACGGCGGCTGCAAGGGCAACGACAATCGCTGGGGCTTCCGACAGACCTGCGAGGAGGCGTGCCTGGTCAAGAAGTGACTCAAGCTCCATGAATCAACAACATACTCTGTGCATACCAAATAAAAGTTCTATCTAACGTTTATTTATATCATTTGCAACCTCAGCGCACCACAGGCAATCTACTTTGCGGTCAATTACCATACAGCAGGCTGCTCAAATATTCAATATTTCAGTGTGAATTCTTGGTTAGTAAACAAGGTGTTCCGCTTATTGATTAATTTGGTGTATGCTAATCCCTAAAGCAATTTGCGAATTCCGTTTAATATTATGATAGTTCTCAGAGTTAAAAACTGTTCAAAGCTGACATAATATAGCAGTGGCTACAGAATTAGTGCAGCTCTAAAATACTGAGTCTTTAATGCAAGGCCCGAAGAGGAGGAAATCAAATCAAAGAAAGATTTAAAAATATGAGAATCGCAGAGAAGGCCATCATTGTTAGGCTCGTTTGACTTGCTTCGTAGTGCTCTAAAAATATGTATAAGCGATCTAGTTAAACAGATCAAATATGAAAGACTTCAATTAGAGTCGCAGAGGAGCACATCATTGTAAAATAAGTTAGACTTGATTCGTAAAGTTTCTGACTTCCTATGCTACATATATATGATAACCTTATCTGATATTTGCATATTTGTATGCATATACACATGTATAAATTTATATATTTATTATGCGTACGTTGGGTAGATTATCTATATATCCATGAATATATTATCTAAATAGCGGAACTAATTAATATTTTTTAACTTTCTGATTGAAATTATACTGAGTGAATTCTAATACTGTATAAATAGTATATTCTATAGTAAGGTTTGGCATAAAAGCAGAAATATATAGATATATAGTTATAGAAAATACTGAAAATTCAAATACTGAAGATACAACTGAAAATATTTTATAGACAAGCTATGAACGGCTTTTAAGAGTATTAAATATGATGCACAATTAACAATATAAGAATCTCCTAAAATAAAAACCAACTGAAAATATATATAGTATAACCCATTAACTATTGTAAATAAACGATTTTATATGCACGATGCTTGTCATCACGTCAATTATTCATAGCATCAAAACAAAGTGCGTCAAACAACAAATTGGGGAACCCGAGAACTGACGACAGCTGTGCGGAAGTATCATATGATTTCGCTAGAGCTGAACTATCATAAAACTCGGAAATATTAATAGGTGCGTTGAACTGCAGCTGAGGACAGGTGAGAACGTCGCAAACTGTCAGCGAGACACTGTGATTTACAAGCCTTGACGAATGACTCGAGCAAATACGATATGATAACGATACTAACTACGACTACGTGCTGCTGCCGGCGAGTTGATTCATTTCGGCTTCGAGTATTTAAGGCTGGCTAAATGCCAGAGCTGGCATCATTCGCGGCAAAGAAACTGAAACGAAATGTACTCCAAGCTGTCTTTAATCGCGCTCAGTCTAGTCCTTGGCGCCATATGTGTGCAAAGCGCCGCTGTGGATCAGTCCCTGCTGGTGGTGGAGCAACAGCAGCTGGAGGGCCAGACAACGGTGCAGCCAGCAGTCGATGAGGCCAGTGTGCCAGAGCAATGCCACCAGCCCAAGGAGACAGGTCGCTGTTTTGCGCTCTTCTACCGCTTCGCCTACAATCTGGATACGCACTCATGCGAGGAGTTCGTCTACGGCGGCTGCGCCGGCAACAGCAACAACTTCGAATCGAAGGCTGAGTGCGAGAAGGTGTGCCTGTCCAAGTCAGAGGCACCAGTGACAACAGCATCCGCGACTGAGCAGAGCACGGAGCTGACTAAGACGCCGGCAGAGACGACAATCAGCCCAGCCTAATGGGAAACGCCCGGATAGTATCTATAGCTATATAGTATATAAGTAATATTATAGCCCTCGCTTGAAAAAATCTCGTTTCCTCTAAACCTACCCACCCATATTTGCACATCTTTAATGAGCATGAGTTATTAGCTTCAGGGCTGGAATCTTCAGTTAGCGGGCAATAGTACTTAAGTAAAATAAGCCCCTTTATAGCGGAAAATGTATAAAAATATAATAAATAAATCGCGTTTAATATTATTATTATTTTTTATAGAATCAGACCTGCCTCAAATTCATTATGTTCTGCAGAAAACTGAGTTATTTGTGTTACAGAATCTCTGGAAAACTATAGACAAAATGAAGCTTGAAAAAATATCGCATCACTTTGCGTATTCCTCACTCTCTTAGGCCTGCACATCACTGTGAAGAATTCTTGTAAGTCTTGGTAAGTGGAGGGGCTATTTGCTTCTTTCGTGTGTAGCATCTTCGAAAGTATGAAGAAATGGCTCATTGTTGAGCTCCACTAATGATTGACAATCTGATTCTCTAGGTCGTTGCTTTGAATCGGTCCGCTCCTGCTTTGCTTTGTCTATTTGCTGAATATTTTACAGGCATTTGCTAATGAACCTTAACTAAATTTGTACACACACACATACACGCACAGACATATTGATAAGCGTCATTGAGTCAGTGCAGCCCCAAAGTGGTATAAATCAGTGTGATCAGTTCTCAATTAAGTTAGTTGCTCTATAGAAGCTCTAAAAAACTATACAAAATGAAATTCGCAGCAGTACTTTGCGTGTTCCTCGCTCTCTTTGGGCTGTCTGTTGCTGTGAAGGATGGTAAGTCCAAGTAATTTATCCTGGGAACGTAAACTAATTTTTACGTCGTCCTCAGAAATATGTGGGCTGCCGCCAGCAGTGGATGGCAACGGGCTGATCAAGTGTGCCGCCTTCGTGCCCAGCTGGAGCTACTTCCCTGAGGACAATTCATGCAAGAAATTTACCTTCGGAGGCTGTGGCGGCAACGCTAATCGTTTCGGAACTCAGCAAGAGTGCGAATCCAAGTGCAAGGAGTAGCCTTACATAAAATAAACTTGATGATCTGAATAAATCAAATTGTTGTATCAAATTAACAGGGAAGGTAGAACTCTTTTTAAGCATTGCTTGACTGTTGATCTCTACTGATGATTGACAAATTGATGTATATACAATACATGATCATTAATATTTGCTAATGGATCACTGTAGATCTCTTCCATAGACAAATGCTCGGCAGCTAAATAATCTTGTTTTAAATTAAATTTGACTTAGCTTTGCCTCAAATTTGATCCGCACCTGCTCAGCTTTGTCTGTTTCAATTTCACGTCAATTGAATCACAAGCACACATACACATACACATACATATATACTGATAAGAATAATGGAACTACAGATTAGTATAAATCAGTGGGATCTGCTCCCAATTTATTTAGTAGATCTACAGAAGCTCTGAAAACTATACAAAATGAAATTAGCAGCAGTACTTTGCGTATTTCTCGCTCTCTTTGGCCTATCTTTTGCTCTCAAGGATTGTAAGTCTGAATAGCTGTTACTGAATAACTTAATTCTGAAACTGAATTGTATTTTGTGGTCAGCCATTTGTGGTCTGCCACCAGCAGGTGATGGCAACGGCTTGATGAGGTGCTTTGCGTTAATGCCCAGCTGGACCTACTTCCCTGAGGACAATTCATGCAAGGAGTTTATCTATGGAGGCTGTGGCGGCAATGCTAATCGTTTCGGGACTCAGCAAGAGTGCGAATCCAAGTGCAAGGAGTAGACTTACGTAAAGTAAGCTTGTGATCTGAATAAATCAAATTGTTGTATCAAACTGTAAGGTGATAGTTACTTCTTTCGTGTATAGCCTCCTAGAAAGTGTGACGCTTCTTCGGCTTAAGCAATATGTAGGATGTGATTCGGTGGTGAACTCCAGTAATGATTTGACAAGCTGATATATATGTATCTGTGCTCCTTAGGGGCCTGGCAGATCAATAAGTGCGCCTTCTTTGCTTCGCCCAGTTATGGAAAATTTTGCAGGCCTTTGTAAATGAAAATTAACTAAATTTATGTAACTGCCGACACCAACAGAAGCCCTCGGACAGTGGGTTTGTGGCCACTTACGGCCCAGCTGGAGTTACTATGAGGAGAGCTGCCATGGAAGTTTATTTTCGGATGTTACATTACATGCTTTTCTACACTGGTATTCGCTCTGGAAATTGTTTGCATTTCCTCCGCATCCTAAATAGGTGAATTTAATGCAAGTATCGTACTGAGATACATAGGTCCAACGGCGCGCACTATTGAAGCACATAGTCTCATTGATGTTATATGAATGAGGTACGCAACATATCGCTAGAAACAAAATGCAAATTGGCTAAATTATGTTACAAGGTTATTTTACACCATAGAACATACGATTTGTGATTGGTACAAAGTGTGCCTGAAAAGCACCAAACATCAAGAACAATAAAAAATACATTTTTGTAACAGTTGCTTTCAGTTTGGTGTGTAATGGTGTTCACTCGGAGAGTTCGTGACTTAATGTGGCATACAAAGATACTTAGCTACGCTAGTCGTTTCAGTACTTCATAATAATTTGTTGCATTCCAAGTGGCTGAGACTTGTCAGTCTCGAAACTGAAGACCTGGTGTATTTATAAAATGCAATTCACCTCAGTACTTAGTATAGTCGTCGCATTGATCAGCTATGGGAATCGTTAGGATTATAGAGATTTTAGCACTTCACTTTCTGGAGATCCTCTCTAGCAGACAATAAGTACCCACAGTTCCTTTTTAGAGGATGCTATCCGACTATCATCGTTGCATTGCCGTATGCAATTCGTAGCCAATCTTTAACGTTACTGTTTAATCCAATTCCAAGCAAAACGTTTTTATATGTTCTAATGCAAATTTGTACAGCAGAAGTCAACTCAAAGTAATTAGTAAATAACAAAACCATCATTCAGTTGTATGGCTCTCAGCTCTGAGCAAATCATTTCTTTGTGAACAGGCTGGGGAATTACCATTAGTAATATATTTACTGAGATAAAAATTCGCTGTTGTTTTCTTATCGAAGTAAACACAATTGAGGCAACAACTCACAAACCTTAGAAATGAGCAGTCCGGGTATATCAGTTATACAAATATACTTCTTTAGCTCTTTTGGCTCTTAATCTCTGCCCGTTCGATTAATCTGTTTGGACCTATATTGCCTCGTCTTTTGCACGCGCACATCTAGAGTAACCAAATGTTATACAAGTGTTCTCCCAAGCTTAGAGCTAGATTTCATTTTTGCCTTCACTTGGTCTGTCTCTTACATATTTAGACTAAAATAGGTTTGGGCAACTGCAAGTCGGCAAGTCGGGTGTCCCCCGCTTAATTCTAACTCGATTCACTCGCTCAATGATTGTTTTCAATGTGAAAATATTTGTGTTTTGAAACAGTTTTCAGCTGTTTTGAATCTATTGCAAGTTTTATTCCATTTTCCTTGCCAGATTTGATTACGAACTGCTGCTTAGTAATTCTTTTCTTATACTCTACCAGAGGTTATCAGAGCTTCTTAATCGATTTCGAAACATCATATAATTTAGTATAAGACTATTTGAGCTGGAATGGAAATTTTTATTAGTTTTAATAGACTTTTCTCTGTTTAATTTTATTTTTATTTAACTTTATAAAGCTTAGTTAAAATTTAAATAAATTTTCAATTTTCCCCATTTGACTGTGACAAATGGAAAGGGTATATAACAGTGCTGCTAAGCTGAGTGAAGTCAGAAAATAAGTATACGTATTAAGTACAGGCTCGAGCAGAAGTCAGCTTAGTCCAAACCTGTCGCTTGATGTCCATAGGTAGCTTGGGAACCATAAAATTAGCAAGGAACACATAAAAATGAAGTTTTTTTTATTGCTCGTGATTTGTGGCGCTCTTCAGGTCAACAGCTACACGACCAGAAATCGTATGTGCTAAAATATGGAAAATATCTCATTCAACATAGATTGGCTAATTCGCATTTTGTTTCCAGCGATATGTAAACTACCTCATTCATTCAACATCGATGTTTATACTTCCTGTTTGAGTAGTGTTCGCCGCTGGACCTACAATTCTGCGATCAATAAGTGCATCAAGTTCACCTATTTGGGCTGCGAGGGGAATGCTAACAATTTCCCGGACAGTTTAACGTGCAAACGAACGTGTGTTCGAAAGTAGTTAAAAATTCCTATTGATGATCGCATTTGTTGTATCGATGCAAAAAGGCAGAATAAAAGACAATGTTGTTAAGAATTTGAGGGTTATTTCTGAAGTATATATATATATACATATGTGAACTATAAAAGCTAGAATTTAAAATTATTAAATTATTAAATTCAATGCAGCATAATATAAATAGCATTTCTTATCAATTTATTTATTCAATGTCAAATTTGTCGCTACAAAATTAAGTCAATGAAACACGCTTCATGAAGTATATCTCATAGCAGGAAGTCTAACAAAATGAATTCAGTTTTCATTTTGTACTTCACTAAACATAAAATAATTCTAACTGTATGTTTTTAATATTTATCAAATTGATGAGCTAATCGAAAAATTGAGCGCAAAAGTAGAAAAGTTGTGTTTGTATGAGTTTTTGATAATCTCAGCTCGAGCTGTAAATTCCCACTGTGCTTACTTAATTAATTTAATCACTTTGCTAAGCACGGCAAACAAATATTTACCAATACAAAATATTTCCGAATAATTTAGTTTGTACACAATGCTTACGACATTCACGTTGGGGCGATAAGAATGCAAAACGAAGTTTCCTAAGTGTATTTAAAAAGCAACTCCGGCTGGCTTGACGCGTAGTTCATGGTCTCAGGCAGTTCTATTCGGTTTAAAGCATTATCATGAAGTTCTGGGTATTGTTTACAGTGCTATTGATCTCCATGGCCGGCAGCTTTGCGCTCAAAAATGGTATGCGTTAATGAAAATTGAAAATTGAAAGCTTACGAAATTATCATTTATTGATTTTTGTTCTATTAGAGCTTTGTGGTCTGCCCCATTCTTTGAACGGCGATGGACGCATTTCGTGCGACGCCTACATAGCCAGCTGGAGCTACGATGCAGTGGCTCGGGAATGCGTTAAGTTCATCTTTGGCGGCTGCGGCGGCAATGAGAATCGATTTGGCACCAAAGAGATCTGTGAGGAGAAGTGCTTGGAATAAGTGACTAAACACTTACTGATGACAATGATTGAAATACTGAAATTGATTTGATTTGAATAAAATGTTATCAAGCACCCATTAACGGGCTTATATCTTAGCTTGTATTCAAATTTCATTCTTTGCTGGAGACAAAACAAGAATGATACTATTTTTATTAGCTATATTTCAGCAGCTGTTTAAGTAATCGATTGTTTGAGTATGATGTAATATTGCATCTGATTTGCCATTCGTTTTCTAGTTCTTGTAAAATGTAAACACACAACTATTGAAGGAATGAAGCTCTGGAAATTGCAAAGAAAATATTTGTCGACGCAGACATCTGAGAATAATTTTCTCTTCTTGATAAGTACTTAGAAGCCTGGTCTTGTGGCTACAGGGGTTGGGAAAAACAGTCATTCTAAATTAGTCATTCTAAATTATACACTAACAGCAACGCAAAGCTAGCTAATTGAGTGATACGCCATGCCACACAAAATGACATATATATAGCTTAAAAATAAAACTGGAAACTAACTATAATTTTCTTTTATAATGTTCTTCTTACAGCAAATTACTCATATATTGATATTGTGAAACTTCATCTATTAGTTTAATGTCTAAGAAATCAGATTGATAAAGTCATATTGTTAAACGAAACTCTAAGTGTTAGAAAAATCTTCCCTACTTTCTGTTATTGCAACATCAATATTTGCCAAAACGTTTATCATTGTTGAACTAACTTTGGTATTTCCCAGTAGACTTATTTCCAACACAAAACACGCTTTTAACTTATTTAAACATGGATATTAGTAAACGTATAAAGAGAGCACTCAGCCTTTGTTATTCATAATAAATGACATTGAGTTTCAGTTCATAGCGCCTAGAATGAGGTTGTTTTTCACAGCTGTGCTGCTCGGTGCATTAGCTGCGAGCATTGAAGCTGGTATAAAAGTGCACATTTAAACGATTTCTATCGAATTAAGATAATCCTTTCACAGGTATATGTGGACACGAGCTTGCTGCAAGCAGACATGTTGACCGCAACTGTGGGAAAACCCAACTGATATGGGTTTACAATTGGCTGACCTCAAAATGCATTCCATTCACCGATTCTGATTGCCCTGGAGCTGTCAATCGCTTTGTTAAGAAAAAGGATTGTGAAACCTTGTGCAAAAATAAGGGTCGTCTTCCGGTTGACTCCTGAGAAATGTGAATTTTAAAGTGATAAAAATATAAATGGATAGATACAAACTACGAATTTCTACGTATAAAGAGTCAAGAGTGATTCTCAACTGGGTTTTTTCTAAGCTTTATATAACTATAAGTTATAGTTAAAGTTATTCGCCAAGTCTCGAAGGGGCCACTTTCAAAAGAGGAGATTAATTTAAACTCAAATTGAAGCAAAGTTACCTTGGCATCTCACATGCCGACGCCGCCTCTTCAGCTCTGCAAGGACTAAGTGAAACCAGTTTGAAGAGCTGGCAAAACCCAATAAAATCGAAAACAAATAATTATAAAATAAACGGAACTCAGCTTGTTGTGCAAAATAAATACAAATTTCACTATAATTTGAAGGTTTGTTGTTTTTGCAAAGAGAGCTTCGCTTGACCCGCAGATAAGGTCCCAGCCGGTTTCTGCCTATATAACGAGCCCCACATGCCGGCTCCAAGCTCAGTTGCAATCGATTTAATAACCAATTATCAGTTCAAAACTTAAACTCAATTCAAGATGAAATATTTCGCCGTGCTACTGCTGCTGTGCGCCCTGATGGGTTCTGCCCTGGCCGCACTGAAGAATCGTAAGTTATCTGAAAATATCTGAGTATCATTCGTGTCTGATTTGAGTACTAAGTAGAAATCACCGATTCAATCAGATGCTAGATTCTGTAACTTGTACATGAGCATATATTATTATTTTATTTTCATTTTCAATTACAATTATTTAGTAGTTCATTTGAGCAACTGACAACTGACAGAACTAAAGTTTATGAACCATTCACTTATTGTGACTCATTCGACTCTACTCTACTCGCCTTTCTAACCCAACTTTCTCTCCTTATTCAGCTGTCTGTGGTGAGGAGTTTGGTAAGATCGGTACCTGCCGCGCCCTCCAGAAGATGTGGACGTATCGCTGGGACACCAATGAATGCATCAACTTCAACTATAGTGGATGCCATGGCAACAATAATCTCTTCGATTCGAAGAAGACATGCGAGAATACCTGCAAAGTTTAAGCGACATAAGTTCCAATGTTAATTAAATAAATGTTATATCTATAAATTTATTTTATACAAAAACACTTATTATTCTCTTTAAGCTTACCAATTGCTGTAGGCTTAAGATAAGTCAACTGTAGATTTCTGATTTGATAGGTATCAAGAATAACAAGAGTATATGAAAACTATTGAGTATATACTAATGAGTATGTATATGTATGTATAACAATTGAAGAGCATCTGCCAGCTAAAGTCTCAACTAGTGTAAGGCTACAGGTCGTGACTGAGCTAGCAAAAGATGTGTGATAAATTGATTCGAATTTTTTTTAGAAATTTTTTTGTTATAAATATAGAAAAGTTTAGTTAAAGAAGTTGTATAAGAGCTTACTAAAAAACTTATATCAATTTATAAATAAATTTCTAGTAAACTCTTTTACAGTATCTTTAAGTTAACTTGTATATAAATGTGCATCGTTCTTATTTCAGATATCATTAAAAGCAGGAGATTTTGCTATCATAAAATCTATTTAGCAATTGGATCATTACATAAGTCTAGAAATATATATCTGAAATATATGATATTTATACATATACATATATATATGTATATATATATTTTGTTTTATAAAGTTCAATAGTGCATACCGCCCGGCCAGCCAGCCAGACAGACCGTGGCACAAAAGCAATAAAATATTCTCACATACGGAAAAAGTAGAAGTACTATTAGATTAAGCTTGTATAAACTAAGTAGATGATTTGCTGGTTATCTGAGTTCTATATATACACTTGTGAGCTTGTCGTGCCGTTATCGACGTGGGCTTTCTATGTTGACCCATTGCGTTCGGCTCTGAGTACTGCACAGATAAGCCAGACTTTGTCTGTTGTACTTCTGCAGATGTCTAAGAAGTCTATATGTATTGGGCTTTATATAGCGCCGATCTGAACTGCAGCAATTGCAGTTTCACTTGCACTATGAAGTACGAATATCTCTTGCTTACAGCAGTTGGATTGCTGCTGTGGGTCGGTACGACGAACGCCAAGCCAGGTGGGTAGATCAGTGAAAGGTGCCTGGACATAATCAAGTCGTTAAATCCATTCGCTGTTAGATTTGTGCAGTGAGCAGCACTCGAAGGCGGGCATGGAACAGGATGGCGCTGCCTGCATGGCCTATATGCCCAGCTGGACCTATGATTCGAGCAAGAATGCCTGCATTGAGTTCGTCTTTGGCGGCTGCGGCGGCAATAAAAACCAATTTGGCAGCCAGAGTGAGTGCGAGAAGGCCTGTAAGGACTAAGTTAGCTCAACGCACAGAGGCACCACAAACCAGTTTCAAGTGCTGCCAAAAACCAACAAAAAAATCCAAAAAAAAAACTAAATTATTATTGAATAACCGAAGCGTAACTTGTGAAAAATAAACAAAAAAATTCACGTTCATTTAAAGGTTTTGTTTGTTTGCTTGACCCACACAGATGGGTCCAGCCAGTTTCTGTCTATATAAAGAGCGCCACATGCTGGCTTCAAGCTCAGTTGCAATCGTCGCAGTGCCCAAATATCAGTTCGAAGCTTCCACTCAATTCAAGATGAAATATTTCGCCGTGCTGCTGCTGCTGTGCGCTCTGATGAGCTCTGCCTTGGCTACCCTGAAGAATCGTAAGTGCGGAGTGATCTTGCTTTGATACACATGAGTAGTGGCCGGAGGAACGGAATGGAAGACTGAAAAGTCGCAGAAATCCGCATCCGCAAACCATATATCAGTCAGGTTCGATTTAAGATCTATCGAGTGAACTACACACAGATGATCTTATCAGTTAAGCTGATGCTAGATTCTCTGGCTCATATTTGAGCATATATTATTATTTTATTTTTATTTAAAATTTAAAATAACCATTATTTAGTAGTCCATTTGAACAATTTAAAGGAGTTGATTTACCATTAACTTACTTTAGCTCATTCTACTCTTCTCTCTAACTCAACTTTCTCTCCTTGTTCAGCTGTCTGTGGTGAGGAGTTTGCTAAGATCGGCACTTGTCGTGCCCTGCAGCCGATGTGGTCGTATCGTCTAGACACCAATGAGTGCGTCAACTTCAACTATAGTGGATGCCACGGCAACAACAATCTCTTCGAGTCGCAGAGCCTCTGCGAGAAGACCTGCAAAGTTTGAGTGAAATAATTTCCAATGCTGACTAAATAAATGTTAATTTTGTTTGTTTTTAATTTCGTAATATGATCATTTATTGTTTTATTTAACTTGATTTAACATTAATTAACTGTGGCTGTCAATACTTGTGGCTCTATACTTTTCTTGTTGCTGTAGGCTTGTGTTTGCTTGCAGTGAGATAAGTCTACTTAACGCTATTGCTCTGGGCAGATGTCTGATTTCTTAGCTATCTGTTCATTCTATACATGAGTATATGTTTATGTATATATATTATATATTATTATGCATATGTTTTTTTATTATTGATATTTATAATCAATTGAAGTGGCTCGGCCAGCTGAAATCTCAACACGAAATGCGATTGCATCGCCGATTGCGAGGCTACAGATCAGAGTCTGCTCTAACTGCGAGAGATGTATCATAGAAATATTGAAAATTATATTGTTTAGTATATAAAATTTATATAGCAATAAATTTAATTTATATATTATTAACAAAATGTCGTAATTCTTTGAAATAAATTTTTTTTTAGTTTTTTTTTCCATAATTTTAAACTAATTTTTTAATTTGTTTTTTTTTTTTTTGCCTGTTAGATTTTTTTATAACTGAGAGAGCTGACCCTCTCTTTCACGCGCTCTCTCTCCCTCTCTCTCTCTCTCTCTCTCTCTGTGGCATATGCTCTCTGTTGTTCGATTTTCAGCTACTTTGCCACCTGCAAATCTCTAAAAGTCTAGCTAAGTAATCTAAAAGTATTTTAAATGTGAATTTTTATTGTGTGTGTTGCCCTCTAGCCGCGTAAAACTAATGCTTAAAAGCTAAGTCCGCCACATGGAATATATTTATATATATATATGCATATATATATATTTATATAGTATAATCTAAAAATTAATAATTATTATTAAAATGTTGCTTATTCGGTTTTGGTTGGCAGCGCATTGCCATTGATAGCGGCTGCTGCTGCTGCCGGCGAATCGGGACGCACTGCGGCGGATGTGGGTGGCAGCTGCTGTGACTGTAGCTGAGTGGGCGTGGTTGGGGGCGACAAAGTGGCATGATGTTGCTGTTGCTGCAGCTGCTGTTGCTGTTGCTGCTGCTGCTGTTGCAGCTGCTGCTGTTGATGATGATGATACGCCGCTGCCGACTCGGCCAGATCAAGCAACGCAGCCGATGTGGAGCTAGCCCCTCCTGAAGCACCGCCCGGACCCAAGCCATTCATGGTGCTGGCCGTCATGTCCTGTGCCTCGTGTTTCAGGCGCAGCGCATTGTTGTTGTTGTTGTTGTTATTGTGATTGACGGCATGCCCCAGAGCCGGATGATGGGCGAACGAGAGTGGCGGCAAGTGCAGACCCGGAAAGGCCAAGCCCGCAGCAGCAGCTGCATGCAGCGATTGTAGCAATGCCGCCGAATGCTCCTGCGCCTTACGTCGTAGCTCCGCCACCGAATTGGAGCGGGGATCATGCGAGCTGCCACCACTGGATTTCGGCGACTCTGGCGAGCTGGCCGCCGAGCTGCTGCTCACTGGTACGCTCAGAGGCGCCATCACCGAGGACGAAGCCGTCGACGACGGCGGCAGCGGCGGCGGCTTCAGCGAACAGCACGAGCAGAGACTTTGAAACGGCGAAACACCTGAGGGGAGGAAAGATTTTTGTATAAATTTATTATCAATTTGAAAATTGTTTTTGATGTCAATGCATCAACATCATCATCTTTGCGCTGGCAGCAGCTGCTAATTTGATTAGCAATTGCTTTTGATTTCACATCTTTGGCGCATTGGCGCTTTGATTGACAGCCCATCGATAGAGATTATGCCATTAGTCCACCCACCTTTGAGGCCCGGAAAGAGCGGCTGATGCGAAAACTGAGCTGCCAGATGCGGCGGCAGAAATAACGGTGGATGATTCGCGTTGCGCTGCGCCGCTGCCGCAGCGGCTGCTGCTGCTGCCACAGCGCTCTGCTCGCTGAGAACCGGTCGAAAGCCGCAAGTGCTGCAAGTGAAAGGAAAACAATTCAATATGGAATTAATATCCACTAGGAGATGAGAAGAAGAATGTAAATGTTTTAGATAAGTTTGAAGCAGGGGCAAAATGGCTGATGACTATGATAAGAACTAGTTTTCCAAAAGTCAAAAACTTTTTGTGTCAATGTGAACTGAAATCCAGAGGCCAACAGTTGGAAGGCATTAAAATTTAAGTGCTATTTCAATATCTTTTTAATATAAAATATAGTATTTTTTTATTACAGATACTGATACATCAAGATACTTAATACATGATACTTGATACTACCTGAGCTTCAAGACTCTAGAAACTCGCTCAAGGTCTACGCTATCAACGACTTTTCCTCATCATTTTCTCACCTATCAAAACAGTCAGTTTCTCAGAAGTCCTCTCTATTTCCCATAGCTCCTATAGCTGCTGCCTATGATGACTCACATTGTATCGCATGTCTAGCTTGAGAAAGTAATTAAACCCCATTCATTTGGCACTGGGAAAATTTCTGATCGCTGTGGCCTTTCAGCTCTCTCTTATTATACATTTCAAAATTCTATATGCATGTATATATGTATATACAAATGGCTGTGTATCTGTGTGTATTAAATATGCAATGGCAAATGGTTCGCTTTATTTTTTATGACACCCAGCACACAAACAAGAGACACAGCTTTTAATTAACGCTTAATTGAAATAAATTAAAACATTTTTATGCGTAATTGCATTATTATTAATAAACCTAAATATTTTGTATATATGTAAAAAAAGTCGGCAGCTGTTGTCACTTATTGTTGTTGTTGTTGTCTAGGCCCCTACTCGTTTTAATTGAATGAAATATAACGCTTAGGTCATATAGCAACAGCAACTCCCATTTGTCGAGTCCCCGAACAAACAGTTAATGCAATTTAAACAATTTTAATTGATAAGCGAGCCAAACATTTTTTAGAAAATAAAAAAATTTATATAAGCATGATATAGATAAATTATATGAATGGCATAATCCATTAATAAAATTAACAACGTTTTTTATTAGTCATAATTGAGGCCTACTTTTTTATTATTTATTTAAAAACTTATAACCAAATGAATTCAATGGCGCAAGAGTTTTTGAGGAAAAAATAAAGAAGACAAAAAATATATAAAACGGTATAAAAGAGTAGCAGGCTTGGCAAATTTTGAATACTCTCTGGTAGAACGTAAGTCTCATTGAATTCAGAAGCCATGAAATCTGCATAAAACTTATGCAAATAAAGCGCTAGAAAATGTATTAACCATAAAACTTACTTTACATACAAATTCTTCTATAAATGTATAGATTCATTCATCCTATTAGACTTGTCTATAGATAACATGTCAGAATTATAATATATTAATTTCAAATTTGAAACAATTGATAGAATAATATTTTCATGTTAGAATGTAATTTTTGACTAATGCATCTGATAACACAAAATTCTTTATATTATATGCCCCACATCTTGTGTAACTCAGCTCTAATACCCTCGGCTAGAGTATATGTAAAACGAATGCAATTTAATTTATATCAATTTGTGCTAAGCTCTTCAGCGTTTAGTCCATTTGGAGCTAGTCCTGTGGGACTATTGGACTTGGATGCAAATGTGTCCAAAATTTAATAACTCTTAGTGCGGCCTAACTCAACGTGAGGGGCCGTCAGCCGGCAGGTATGTGGAGTGGATCAGGAAGTCGGCAGCTGGCAGCCGAACAAATCTCTGAATGCTAATCGAGTTGCGGGTGAAAAAAAAGCGCTGGCCATGGCAGAGTGCCGGCCGAATGTCGCGACCACAGCAGCTGGGCCACAGCCGTCGCGGCTGTCGCTTTTAATTCTTTTCACTTGTTTTTTCCGCTCTAAACTTGACGGTTTTGGCTTTTGCTTTTTGCCTTCCCTGTTCATCCTGTTCGCCCTTGTCCCAATTCTACCCTGATTTTTTTTCTGAGGTTTTTGGCCGCTTACAGCCAAGAGCTGGCTGCACACTATTTGGCTTGAAACAGAATTTTGTATGCGGCGAATGCGTAATTTTTTTTTTTCGTCATAATTTTCATTATTTATTTCATGTTAGGCTTATGAATTTTTCACAGAATTGTAAGCTATTTGCAAAATGATTGAAAGCACATTAGATTAGACAGAAATTGGTCGAGGATGAAGACTTTTAAAAGAAAATATTATTTGACCATTCGAGGGAAATTCCAAGTATTTGAAACTAAATCTAGTTTTTAATATTTTTGTATATTAAATATTTGAATATAAATATTTGAAAATATGTGTAACACCAAAAAAAAAAGGTTTTTGGGATCATATTCCAAATATTATTTTTAAATCAAATTTAATTATATATCAATTAGAAAAATATATAAAATTATTAATATATTTTTAAATGTAGTTTTCCAAAAATGATTGTAGTTTATCAAACTTATTATTGTGAGTCATAAAAATAAATATCTCTGAAATTATTATATTACAAAAATCTTTACTTTATTTTCAAAATCTGTTGCTTGCTTTAGACTTTTTTGTATTCCTAAGCAAAAGTTCAAAAGAAACTCACCAAAAATATTGCTTTAACAAAATAAGGGAAAATATTAGTATTAAAACATAGTTAGTATTATAATATATTTAACCGAGATTATACACATAGATAGAGTCTTCAAAAACATACGGGACGGCCCAATTAGGACCAAAGGCAGATGGGTAAAAAGCAAAAGCAATATTTAACAACCAGAGACGCTAGGAGGAGCTAGATGCTCGTACTACAACGTATAGTATTTATAGTTCCAGATTCCATTTGCAGACTCGAGCGGCGACCTGCGCTCACTGTCCGGGTTGCAGCGAAAAAAGCAGTAAACTTAAATGTTTGCGTATAATTAAGCACTCATCCTTTGGTCGTAATTAAATTTTGCATGTGCACATCCAACAGCTGCCGCCGAGAGAGCGAACGGGAGGGCGGGGGACTGGTGGGAGGGAAAACAGTGGAGGCACGGCTAGGAGATTTGGTATGTCTTGTCTGAGAAATGTTGCCAGCATCAACGTCGAGAGCCGCAGGCGACAGGCGGGTCTGTTTGACATAGCCCCACGCCCACCCAGGGCTCTGCTGCCGCCCTAATTGCAACACTCAACGGCGTGCCCAGTCAGAGACTGGCTGCTCTCGCACTCCTAATTAAGACATTCAGAAGCTCGAGTGTTGTCGTTGAGCTCGTTAGTTAGTACATAACTTTTGCTGTGGGCCAAGTGTAGCAGCGGCAAGAGGCAGCTATGCGTGCGTGTGTGTTTGTGTGTGACTTGAGCGTTTGTCAATGTCAGACAGAGAGACAGAGAGAGGGTGAGAGAGAGAGAGCGCCTGGCATGCTCACCTAGCGCACAAAAAGTTTTCTTTAAATTTTCGCACTTTTCACAGATTGCCGTTTGCCAAGGAGAAAGTTTTAACCCGACTTGGCTTAATGAATTTTTACACATGTTGCCCCTCCGCCCCACCGTGCCACGCCTCCACAACCCCTTGCTTTTAATTTTTCTGGCAAACATTTTAATGCTTTACGCAATTCTAACAAATTAAACTCGAGCAATCAACACCTCAACGGCTTAGCGGGCACCGCCACGTCGAATCCTCACTTTCGGAAAGCCAAACTCAATTTCCGCAGAAATGTTTGTGTTGGCAAAAGTTTCTTTTTTCCCCAAAATACCCTAGAATTGAGAAATATTGATAAAAGAGGGTATAGATATGTAAAATATGTGTTTTCTGAAAACTGTCAACTGTCAAGCTGCTCAAAACTGTGCTGAGACATTGAAGCATGCGATATTCTTTAACTTTTTCAAATCAATTTTGGCAAGGCAATAAAAGGGCAATATAGCTTGGTATTAGGCATAAACGAATTTGAAGATAAGCCCGAAGTAAGTTTACAGGATATTTGATAGACAGGCATGCAAGACTCCAACTCCTACTCCTTTTCCTTGTGGAAGCTACCTTTGACTGAAATTATTTTCTACTTGCTACCCGAGCTGCTAGCTAAAGCTCCTGCTCTGAACATTATGCGCTTATTATATTAGGCAACCCAGAGTTGTTGTTGGCTGGGCTGGGACGTTGTTGTTTGTTTGTTGTTGAGCGCGAGTCAGCGGCTTATTTTAATTGCATGATGAATATTAAAATATTTGCCTAATTTATTATTCAAGCATTCGTGCGCGCAAACATCAACGAGTCTGATACACATAGCTAAATACATATAAATACATGTATATATATATATATACTATATGTTCAGGTATATAGCTTGAATACCTCATTTGATTTTTGGCCTCTGCCTGGGCATGCGGCTGGTTACATGTTTAAGTAGCTCAGATTTTATGTGCCTCGGCATCTAATAACATATTTGAGTTTTTTGCCAAATATTTTCACATAGTTTGGCGCATAATTATAATAATTTCCTGTATACAGCCAAAAGAGATTTCAAATTAAGCACGATTAAAATCTGATGCACATATGAGCGGCTCAGCTTAATGGTACAGGCAATCTGCTTAGGGACTCGATTCAACTGAGGCAAGACACAACAGCTACGAAATTGCCTATATATAACATATCAGAAACTTTTCTGATTCTAAGTTAAAGTAGAAAGAGAGATCATAATAACAAAAGCACAGCAGAAAGAGTCTAATACAAGAGAAGGCAGCAGCTGGGATGGTTTAGCTACATAAGTATGCAAACTCAATATCAAAATTATAATATAATAAAATAATATAACAAATTTAATACAATAAAAACTATATATAATTAGTATATATTAAATATGGGTTCTATTCTTAAAATACTATATCAGAAGTCAATTTTCTATTGCACCTGTTTCACATATATTTGCAAGTGGCCCTGCACGAATCGATACTATCGAAGTTGTTCTTATTGCCCAGACATCCTCCATATACGAATAACTTGCACAAATTCCAGTTGGCAATGTAGGTCCATCGCAAAACCTGTTTATGGCATGGACCCACAATTAAAGGCGGGTATCTGCAAGGATCTAAACATTTAACAAAATCAAACTGAAGAGTATCAGTGAAGAAGTTGGTCGTATTCTTACGCCGAATTGCAGCCATTGAAAAGCCAAGCATTAGGAGGAGCAGGCAACTCAATGCAGCATTTTTCATTTGGAACAGCTATTAGCAAAGTCTAAGTAAATACTAAGCTAAATAAGTAAAGAGCAATGCCTTTATAGAAGCAAAATGAAATCGAATTGGCAGCAGCTGGAACGCGGAACTAAAACTAATTGGAATGCATATGACTCTAGACTAAATTGCAATATAAACTACACTTGTTTTAAAACAGAGAGGAAGAGAGAGAGACTCTTAGTAGAAACTAAAATATCTTTATATATAGTATATACTATAAAGAGTACAGTCGTTGAAATTAAACTCTATAACTTGCTTAAACTTCGAGTAACGCGAACTGTTGCTAGGTCAGCTTCTAAGGTCTATTTCTTGCTGCCTAGTCCCACATGTTTACTCTTTGTCCACGTCTTACTTTACAATTAAGCTCTTATAGCTCGTTTTACAATTCTTAAGATTGCAAAGTGTCCGTATCTTATGCATTCCTTCTTTGTTTATGTTTGAATTTGACAACTCAGCTTGATGTCTAATGTATCTTTGACAAATATGTTCACATAGTTTGTATAATTATAATTATTTCCTGCATGACTACAAGCTTATACACATGTGACTGGCTCAGCTTAATGGTACAGGTTACCTCCATAAACAATAGACCATATAAGCAATTGAAACCAAAAAACACGTACAAAAGTTTGATTCAAGAGAAGGTAGGCAGCATGTCTAGTAAGAGTCAGCCTTCAACTGACTGACAGCATCAGCTCTATCTCTCTCTCTCTCTCTCTCTCTCTCTTTATATATACCTATTCAGCTACTTCTAGCGCATGGGCTTGGAAGCGATTCTCATTGCCATAGCAGTCGCTTTAGATGCATTGCTTGCACTCATTCGTTTCGGCATTCAACTCCATCTGGAATTCTTAGCACAGGTCAAGATTTGTCTATTGCCACTCGTAGCACTTGGAAGATAACAAAGTAATAGTAATCCCCTGCTGCTAGTCTGATTGTTATGGATTCCGATTTGAAGCACTGGACAGATCGAATTTGTGTGAAGCCAAAGAGCACAACTAAAACGAATTAAAATGTTAAATGATATATCTATACAGATTGCATTTAATATTTAGTAGTTTTATATCGTAGATATTTGCACTAGACTAATTTAGGACCTCTTCAAACACTTATCCTCGCATTTCTTTCTAGATTCGAAGCGATTCGCGTTGCCCTTGCAGCCGCCAAATTCGAATCTCCTGCAGTCATTGGTCATATGAAAGTAGGTCCATCTGGATACGAACACCTGACAGGAACCGCCCACTACACCTTTGTCAGCTGGCCTCAAAAAGCAAATAGCTAAAGATTTAACAAAAGCTAAGTATCAAATATGATTGAAGCAGTTCATCGAATTCTTACGATCTCTTTCGGCCATTGCAATGCCAATCAATGCAAAGAGCATGCAACTCACTGCAGCGTATCTCATTCCGAAGAGTTTTCAATATTACAGGTCGTCGGTTACAGGTTGACTAACTAAGTAAGCCTTAATCATAATTCCTTATAGCTGAAATTTGCGTACAAAATCGATTGAGAAAGCGAAGCTAAAACTAATTGTAAATGTCACAAGTGACTTTGAAGTGTATGTTCTTATTTTTCTTTGTCTTTGCCGAAACAAGAATAGCGCTTGACTCAAGGTCAAATCAACTTAAAATGGCAATAAAATTGTTAAATTATTTATTTTGTATCTTTAGCAGAGCCGAAATCATTTCAATGTCAACTGCATTCAGGCACTTTTCATTCATTTGCTACGTTGAACTCAAGTCTTACCTCTTATAATTGTTTTAGCAAATTGGCAACAAAGACAACAGGTGTTAATTGTTTTCGTAGCTGAATGGAACGAGTGTCGAATGAGCAATAAGTACTGGACTTTATAGCAATTTCAGTTTTGACCCTAAAAAAACTCAGTCAATATGAATTGAAAATTCTTTATTTTTAGTTTTTCCCGTGATTTATATAGATAATAATAATAGATAATAGATAATAATAATAATAATAGCAGCAACATTTAGAATCATCAGACTTGAATCGTAAATCATCAAATCAGTTTTTCCCTTTGGCATAACTAATTGCCTTTGATTGACTTTCCGAACTGCTGAACTGACATCAGCATTGAAGTTGACTCGAGTTCCAATCGAATGATTGGAAAAGGGAATGTGTTTTTGTTTTCTATATATTTTTTGTAGCTTTTCGATTTGCATAAAATATACAAGAATATGGAGAAACACAAATAGTTGAGTGCATGTCTAATGCGATGATAAATGCTTGCGATGAAACGCTCGACTTGAGATGAGCAGCGCAAAAAACAAGATAACAACTGAGAGTTGGAAGACGCAAGATGGAGACACACACAGGATGTCCGGCTGAAGGCATTTGAATAACAATAACGATATCAAAATGATATCAAAGTGCTGAGTGCCTGAGCAGTGAGCCAGAGGCGATTGCCATTAGCATATCTGCTAGAGAAGTTGGAATTGATTTGGTCAACCGTTGCAACAACAGCAACACACAGCGGGCAATGATTCAGCCAAAGCGGCAGCAGCAGTGGCAGTCGACCTTCTGCCCAGTGGGTTGTCTCTACCCCTCGACCAGTCGCCCACTCGACAGCTACTGCTGCTGCGCTATTATATGCCGATCCGCATCCTGATTCCAAGTATTTCGTTGTTTGTTCTACGCTTCTCTCGTTTTTTTATTGTGGTGTGTCGCTTGATTGTTGTTGTTTGTTGTCTGGGCGCGTTGACATGTGAGCTGAAGCAGCGCGGGGCCGCCCGTGGCCTCTTTGCCGGCTGATGAGACCGCCCACCGCTAACCGACGCCGCTCACACGCCGCGCCCCGCTTGCTCGGCCGCCTTTTGCTGGGTGCGGCATATGGTTACATTGCCATCATCACAACAAATGCGCGAAACACCCTCATTTACGCCCAATTACATTCTCAAGTTGGCTTTTTATGAGCGAAAACATTTGAAGTCGAAAATATGCATTCATATCATATTTAAAGTATTAGCGCCATAAATTATGCTTAAAGAACTTAAGAGCTAGGGACTGGATTCGTAGAAGATCAGTCAGATTTTTAGTGTAGACTAAAAAGTTAGTCTAGACGTGACTCTAAGCTAAGAAATAAAGACGAAGTTTTGAAACTACAATTTCTGCCACAGTTTAGAGATCTAGACTTGGCTCAAGTCTTATAATATGATTTTTGCACTGCAAATATTATTTTATAATATTATGTTATACAGCAAATATTATTTTATAATATTATTTTAAGTTCTAGATTTTTATTTAAAGATTTAAATATTTTCTTTTAACAAAAAAAAAGAATTTTCTTAAAATATTTTCTACTTCACTTAATTACTTTAAATATGTGATATCTCAACAAATTACACATATAATTCCCAAAGGGTTTCTGAACTTAATTGATTAAAAGTTTTGCAGGACTTTAAAATCTTTCAAGCAAGGCAAATTTAAATTTAGATAAGGAGAGCTCAACAATATTTTCATATGAGATGAAATAGGAGTCTAAGGACAACGATGAGCCAAATCGATAAACCATTCAATTTACCTATTAATTCAGTAAGAAGTTAAAAGCTAAAGACAATGGCAGCTTCGTTCTGGCGCTATTCCGTTGGTGATTAGAGGCTGCGTAGCACGTGTTGGCCATATCAACGCATCAGCATCATTAGATCTGTAGTTTTTGGGGCTGGTTGGGAGACGCAGGGAGGCACTCTTAATGTTTCCGCTGGCGCACACGACATCCGCTGACCGGAAGTGCGCCAATGGAATTTAAACGTTTTCATCCAAAACATTAACTGAATCGTCTTCCGCTGCGCACGCCTGCTCAATAGCCCGTGCCAGGACCGGGGCACCGCAGGAGTCACAAGGCGAGTCACATGCCAACCAGCCCAACCAGCACAGCCAGCCCAACCTTCTAATATCATTACTGCTCTCATTGTGGTCGTTGTCTGGCTATAATAATAACCAACTCCCACAATTCTCGTCCAGCTCTTCCTGCTTTGCTTTCTCTGGCTCGTAATCAATTGCTAATTTAGTCATCGTCACCGAAAGGGAAAAAACACATTCTTTAGGGTTGATTCCTCTTCCAACTGCTGCCTGGATTTGTAAATATTTGCTTGGAAAATTGCTCTCGGGGGGTGGCGTTCTGTTTGCCCTGTTCTCTTCATCCGTTTTTCCCTCCAACTTTTTCTTTTTTTTTTTTGCTGGCAGTTGTTGGTTTTCTGCTCTTTCGCATTGTTATTGTCAAATTGACGACAAAATGCGACACTTGCCATAAATTTATTGTTTGTTGTTGCCTAATGCCATTGTAAGTGGAGGCTTAATGACACGCAAGCAATTAGCAGATCGTTGAGTTTTAATCGCGCTGCTTTGCAGGGGTTGTGCACCAGAGGCTTGACATGAGTAGCTAGTTAAGGATGTGAGTTGATAGAGATTGAGCTAGCCACTGGAAATGCAAGCAAATGTCTTCAAATCTTATTACTGGGAACGGTACTTGAATAGCGTTTGTATAGCTTAATCAATTCTTTTATATTTATCTCAAAACAAAGACTGTAAATATATTAATAAATATAGACTCAATTCAATGGTGATTATTATTCTCTTGTATATTCCTGTTTTTATTATGGCTGTTATCTTTGGCTTAACTCATTTGTTTTTTAAATAAATAAATACATTTTGGCTTGATATAAGCAGCGTTTGCCTTGACTCTAGTAGAACGCTAGTTGCTCTTCTAAATGACAAAATGTAGCTCAAAATAACAATATTTAAAACAAAGTTAATATATTTTAGATAAGTTCTTAGAGAGTTTATATTATTTAGACTAGTTCTTAGAGGGATAAATATGTATAAGACTTGTCATAGCCAACAAATATAATTTTTATCAATAAATATATTTATTTTTAACTTTTTTAAATTAATTTTGTTTACTCAAAAATCTGGTTTAAATAAGTTCCCATGAGTAGATGCTAAGTGACTTTAATTACTCATTAGAATTCAATTGGCATTAGAAAAAGCTTTCTCTTATTTTAGAGCATGGGTGTGAGATTATAGAAGAAATGAAAAATAAAATATTATTTTATTTCTTCACATTAAATAGCAAGCCGAACAAGCTCAAATTCTGTTAGTAGGGAGTTCCCAGCTCGGATATATCCTGAAACCTGCGCAGAGCTGCTATTTCAATATACGCTGCTTTTATGAATACAAAACAAATGTGAAGATATATCCAAAATCCAAAATATACATCACAAATATACAAATGACTTACAAATGGAATCTCTAGCTTGATATGAGTCTATGAGTATAAGTCTATGAGTATATATATATATATATATATAAACAAATAACTACTCTCATAGACTCAAACGTATTTGAACAACTCCTTAATCTAGCCAGATAGTTACTATAAAGTGAGATATTACGGGTACTTACGTATCGTTGGCAACGCTGCCAGCGCCGAAGCTGCCAAAGATGTGACTGCCAAAGGCTGCGGCGGCGGCAGCTGAATGGGGCAGCTGGGCTGCATGGGGCGTGGTTGGCGTTGGTGTGGACGAGGCTGAGTTGTTGGACGAGGCAGCCATGCGCGAGCCCGTGGTCAGCGACATGGGGCCGCCCACCTCAATGGGTGAGTCCGTATTGCGTGAATTAGAGGGGCTGTTGGGACCCAGGCCGCCGGCAAGGGGCGTATGCTCACGCATGCCAGGCGACGGGGAGCCGGCGCTAATCGAGCCCAGCGACTGCGAGGCGGAGTGCGGCGTGGCGGTCAACTGGGCCGAGGACAGCGGTCGCTCGTTGTCGCTCGAGTCGAGATGATGGCCGCCAGTGGGACTGCGTGAATGCTGCTGTTCCATGGGTCCGTTAGTCAGAGGACTATGCGAACGCTGCCGCGGCGGCAGATCATCCATATCATCATCGATCTCGCCAGTGATATCGGGCGAAGACTCGCGTGAGTCATGAAGCTGTGGCGGCGGCAAGAAAAAGAGGGATAGGATATGATATGAATAAGCAAGTTTATTTGAACCCAAATGCCCCCTAGAACTAATTTCAATCCAAGGTAAACAGTCGCACTATAATCAAAATTGTATTCCCTGATCTTCTGGTAGCTTACCTTATCCAACGAGCTGCTGCTTTCGCCATTTTCCCGCTTGCGCTGCTCATCCTTGAGTCGTTCCGCCTTGCGCCATTTGGCGCGTCGATTCTGGAACCAGACCTGCCAATGACAAAGAGATGGTGGGTGGTTGGGTTGAGCACTGGTGTAAAGTTAGAAAATTGCTTTCGTACGGCTGAGTGCTGTTATTTATGCTGTGGGCCAAACTTGTGCCTCGACCCAAGTTGGCTGCCAGCCAATTGAAAATTGGAAAACTTTCGTCACAAGCGCACGCACACATGGTGGAGGCAGCACAAAAAAAAAAAAAACAATAAACGAAATTTTCCACCTCAGAAACTTTAACAATTTG